TGTCTTTCAACCTCTACCCGCTCCTCTTCAAGGCCTGTTATCTGCTGGAGCAGGCGGACATGCTGCGTGCTTTGGTGCAGACATGGCCTCTTCCTGTGCTCGACTTACAGAGGCTGCTTGGAGCCACAGCCGACTGTCAGGCGGACCTCACCTCCCGCACCTGCCGCCTCTGTCTGGAGGCCATTATAACTGGCTTAAAGGTACTTTAGTCAAATATGCCTTGTCCTATTTATACTTGTGTTTAAGGGCATGTTCCTGTGTCATGTTTTTCAGTTCTTCTCCTTGTGAACTAATTGCCTTAAAGCGAAGAAAATATTCCTAAATAATTAGCGTAGTATCCCAATATTTATGTGTTTTTTTCAATTATAAATAAATTAAAGTGGACCTACCATGCTATATTTGAAAAATATATTGTAGGGCCATACCTATATAAAACATGTATCTGAAGTTTTTTTTTCAAAATACCAAACAGGTCATGCATTTTAGCCATGCCTCATTTGGCTCTATTTGCTCTATTCCAGCCCTGTTTTTGCAAGGGCTGATTCTGCTTTTGTGGCAGACTACAGCGCCACTTACAGGCCTGGCATATGTACTACAGCGTCTCCAGCGCTTTCGAGCGGTCTCGTGTGAACGGACATGTTCATGGCCCAACCCCCCATTCCCCTGATAGGTGGAGAGTTGCCCATATAGGCGGAGCACCCCTTTTCTGACGTCAGGGTTGCGTTCCGATAATCCAAAAATCAGCTCCTGAATTCTAACCCTATCTCCTATTCCTTGACCTCTGAGTGAAACGTCACGGGGTTAAGGGATAGTGGATAGGAGAATTCAAAAGGACTTAGGAGAAGAGACCGCGGTACTTTAGAGAATCCGAATGCACTTTCACTATCCGACGTGTTTATGATGCGCCAGCGGACGTCATGAATGTGCGTCTGCTGCTGTGGAGAAACTATGGAAACTACAGTTTTCTATACAGCGGACTACAACATGGATGTTTAATAAGAAGGAGGGACTACTGTAAACTCATCTAGAGACTCTGCACCGTGCTCTGATGCTGTTGCTTTATGCTTTATGAACGGGGACAACAGAGAAACATATTCTTCATGACCAAAGTTGGAATTTAAATAAAAAAGGAAAGTGAAACTTATGCTCGTCACCCTCTCCCTCCGGTCCACATTAATACAAATGATCCCAATACGTATGATTGTATGAACTATGAAAATATCTTAAAATCAATACAAATGTATTTATTATAAACGTTAGTCCTTCACATCTATCACTGTGTATATCACCATTCAAACATCTTTTAAAAGTTGAACAAACTCCACACAGCTCAGTAAAGACTGTGAGATGTTGACTTTATTTGATCATTTCAGTAAAAACTAACGTTCATATTTCTCTTTTTGATTATAATACTGATTAACGTTCAGAAAAAAGCACTTTGGCAACTTACCACATACGTTTTAAAATGCTTAATAAGCACCGTAACTTTCATGATATAATTTCTCTGTCATAATCGGTTGTTTCCGTGAACGGCTGACTGTTGAGTGACGGCAAATGCTGCGGCTGCAATGCATTGTGGGGCAGCATTTTCTCCTCTCCTTTCGGTTAGGGAGGTCCAGTGGTTCCTAAGCTAAAGGAGGTTATAAAGGAAGTTTGAAACCTCCTTTCCTTTCATTTGGAGAATTGGAACGGCACTTATCATGGCTGCCACTGAGGGACTTCCGGGTCATTTCACTCCGTTAGGAAGATTCCTAAGCTAAATGGACTATTGGAATGCAACCCAGGAACATTCAAATCTGTATCAGCTCCGTTGCAGCCCCGTTTTTAGAGATTTGGGTATGGAGCAAAAGAGAGAGGGTTGTGTTTTCTGACACTTGGTGAGTTCCCTGACACACCAGGGACACATATTCATGTATAAAAGACGTACAAAAGTGCATTTTGCATGATAGGTTCCCTTTAAGTTAATGGAAGCCATATTTAACCAGGTTCACCACAGAGGCATGCAAACACATTTCTTAGTTTTCTTCACAAATTCAAGATAACAGGGTGTGTCAGTGATATTTAAATGTTCATTTTGTGTTCCTTTAAACACATCTGCTTTAACTTGTTATTGACTCGTGATCATGAATTGTTATAGGTTGACACTTTCAACTAATTTACACAATTTCCCCTTTGTTTTCTATAGGATTATGTGCTGTCTCCTCCAAGAACCTACGCCAAGAACCTGCGTGTGGTGGACCTGACAGGCCTGAGGGATGTGGAGCACCACACCTGCCCCTGCCGGTCCACCCTGGGTCGATGGGGAAGAACCAAGCTCCTGACACAAGTGTGCTTTGAGACCATGGTGACCATGCAAGCCAGCGAAGTGCCACAATCTGCCTTTGAAACCTCTATTGAGGTCCGTCTGAACGGCTTTGTCACGGGCCGCAGCTATGAGCTGGTGGCTCAGGCCTTCCTCGTCCTCCGCTACTGTCCTCTGAAGATGCGCTTTGTTAGTTTTCGGGCTGACACCCTCACTCTCAAGCAGCTATTTTATGTTCTTCGCCTCGCAGAACCTGACAGCATTGAAAAGCTGGAGGTAGTCCACAATGTTCCCCTGCAGGCTGCACACTTGGAAGTGCTGCTGTCCAAGGTGGAACTTTCCAGATTGCAGTCTTTGACCCTTCCAGCCGGGGCGTTGGATGTCAGGAGGTTGGGCCCTGATGACGACATCATGTCCATCATCGGGAATCTGCTGGCCCAACTCAGCAGCCTGACCGAGCTCTATGTTGGCTTCTCCACTCTAACTGGACACATACGCAGACTGCTTAAGTGAGTAGGCTAAAAGGACAGAGGGAGAGATGGAGAAAGACAACAAGGTGTTCTTGTTTGGATGAGGACAAGATGGAGGCTCACATGCACCTTACAGCATCAGGATCTTTAATATAGCTCAAAATAATCACTTTTCTCCGGGGTCAAAACACGTTCCAGCTTTAAGGCTCTTGTTTAGCGATGGAAGGTATTTTTTTTTTTTTTAAATTGCTGACATGATGCCAGGAAGAGAACAGACAGCCGCAGATGCTCTTACAGTCAAATGGAAAAAAGCAGGAGTACAAAGCACTGAACTGTCAATCAAAGTCTGGTGTAAACCTCACAATGACAAAATGCCTCCCTTATAATAATTAAAATGATGCTTCTTCAATAATAACGAAAGGTAAAGGGGGATTCAATCAAAATAAACAAAGCCAAATAAAGCATGCAGGCTATTGTTAGGCAAGCGTTAACCCTTGCACAAATTGAATTAAGATCGGTCCTTATGCAGGTAACCTTGTTAAAACAGAAATGCTAAAATCTTGCTTTAAGTTGCCAAAAGATCAGAATGCCCTGGGTGTGCAATAATCTACCTCACTTAAAGTCTAAAAGCACACGGACAAGTTATCTGCCTGCTTTCCACTATATCAAAGTTGTATTCAAAAATCTTCGAGGCCCAGAAATGTCTGGTACTATAGGCTTTATATGATACAAATTCATTCTCTTTACCCCTCTTTTCTTTCCACAGTCCTCTCAACACACCGCTGCAGTGCTTGGATGTGGCCAACTGCTGCCTGAACCGTGTGGACATGACCTATCTCTCCAACAGCCTCCACAGCGAGTTCCTGGTCAGCCTGGATATCAGCGGACATGACATCTTCAGCTCTTTCTACTCCTGTTTCGACAAACTGCTCGGCCGCTGCTCAGCCACATTGACCAGCCTGACCGTAGAAGAGTGCAACATCGAGGACGAGCACATGGACGACTTCATTCACACTCTGGCTCGCTGTCAGATGCTAGAGGAACTCAGACTCCTGGGAAACCCTCTGACCTCTGCAGCCCTGTACAGGTTATTCTCCATGCTATCTGCAGGCTTTCCTAACTTAAAATACATCGAGGTACCAGTTCCCCGAGAGTGCTACTCAGAGGATGTCACTTACCCTCTGGAGGATTCAGACCTCCTGGTGTACAACAACGAGTTGTTTCAGGAAGTCAATACCCAGCTGATGGGGATCCTGGAAGGAGCAGGGAGAGGGAGTGTGGAGGTGTGCACCCCTCTCATGGGGGCGTACGACCCAGATATTAACGAAACCAGCAACGAGTTGGGAGTGTCCATGCTGCAGTCTTATAACAACGTCCTTGGGGACTTTATTAGTAGCATAACTGAAGTGGACAACAGGAGATCACAGGCTCAGAAAAATGCTGAATAGATTTGACTGTGGAGAGGTCAAGTATACAGAAAAGGGATATGAACTCAGATTGTTGAGATTAATCTAGACATTGCAGAAATAATTTGTTGACAATGATCAAAAATCACAGAATCGTCTTCATTGTAACTAGTAAACTATTATTAAGATATACTATATTTATCGCGTTTTATATCTTTTAGGGTGCAGGTGGGGACGTATTAGTTTCAGAGGAAAAAAACAGGATTGGAATACAAGTTTTTGATGTACTTTACAAGAAAAAAATGTATTAACATTATTGATCTGTCCTTTGTTTTTTTATGTTAAAAAAAAAAAGTGTGATATCAGTTAGATTTAAGAAACAAAACATCCATGTTTACGCTCTAAATCAAAGCCTTCCTGACCCTTTCGTCACGGTTCCTATTCATGACTGAAGGGAAAACCTGAGTACAGATTAGACTTGATTTATTTTTCTAGAAGTCATCTCAACAGAAGATCATTGGTTTCTTCTCAGCACTTCCTATACGCCAAACATATGTGCAGAGCAGATAGATGTACTGTAGCGGTTGTGGTAGATACTTGAAGTTTGTCTAGGATTCTTTCTAAACTGTATTTATCATGTCTATATTCGTGTTTTAATGCTGTATATAACTGGATTTGCGAATGTGAACAGCATAACTTTGCAACAATCAGAATAGCAAGTATGCTTGTAATGGTTTCACTTTGTCATACCAATAAATCAAACCTCCAAATACTTCAGTCTACTATCCATTATATTTATTAAAAAAAATACACTTACACATCTTCTAAAATGTACAATTTCTTTAATGAGCAATGTTTTATATAGGTAAAGTTTTCATTTTAAATACTACACCAGGGGACAATCATGCACAGACTGAGGACGAGGACTTCAGAACCATTTAGTTCTTCATCCATTCCTCCTTTTCTTTCCTCTCCTGGACCACCTCCTTCAGGTATGGTGACAGATATTGAACATCCTAAAAGGAAAAGATACGAAAAACATGAGACAAATGAAATCACCATTATCAGAAGACTAATAATTGTTTGATTAGATAGGTGTGATGCATTATCATTAAATAATATCCAACCCTATAGTTTATTGATCCTTTTTATACTTACTTACACTTGATTATATAAAGAATTCCTTAATTTTTGCATCTAGCTACAAATGGATTTAGCAGGCAAGTCTCTAGTAGTAAAAAAGGGAAATGCTGCAGCTATTAGCATTAACTATTTAAAACTAAAACGTATCTGTGGCGAATCAATGTCATATAATATAGTGTCTTTACATTAAACTTCACTTCAACCCTTAACAAAAACACATATGAATACGTTTATTGCACCTCTTCAAACTTTGTCCACTGCTCTTTAGGGAGGATCTGCTGCTTCATGGAGAGATCCAGCGCTCTCTTCACCCTGAACACCCTGTCGTTGTACTGGTTCTCTGGGATCCTCCTCAGAGCCTCCACCACATCCGTATCCTCATAGAGCGTGTCATCGCGCATTAAACCTGTCAGAGAAAACAATGCTTTAAAAGAGCTGGAAAAGTGTGGGAAATCGATTATAAGATGGCCTACACTCATCCGAGGCAATGATGTTCCCCCCTGTACATTTAAAACAAGTACGTTTATACTCTGACTATTTGACCAATATATATTGACTTACCCAGCTTGTTGAAGCCGGCCATGCTGTAATACCATTTGCGGATCCCCATTAGGAGCCTGCCTGTTGCTACTGTGAACATGACAAGAAAAGACAGAAATTATTATTCACAAACCTTAATTTAAACAAGAGCATAATGGCAGGTGTAAGGCTTGGATCAGAATTGAGTTTAACAGCTTAAAAAGGGATGCAACTACCAATTATATTATTTCATTATTGATTAAACATTTATGCTATACAATTCAGGCAATACAGGATTCTTAAATCCCAAAGCGATTTGTTAAAACATCTTGTTTTGTGAGTCAGAATCTAAAATATGTTGAGATGAATATGATATTACACCTAAAAGAAAGGCAATCTATAATTGAGAAGTTGAAACACAAATTGTCCATTTATCAAAAATAGTTGGCAATTTTTTGTTTCAGCTCTTATGCAACCCCGTCTGTGTAATAAGATTCACTGATTTCTTTAAGTCTGCTATTACTGTGTATTGTATTGGCGAACATATTATAATTGTTTCATTATTCATATGCATCAGATAAAAGGCCCTTTTATTCTGTAACTGTTCTGCTTGCTTGTTATTTTTATCACATTTAAAAATGATCTTAACGTCTTGTATTTTTAAGCCCTTGTAAAGCACTTTACAAATAAACTTTCATAGCATTCACTCAATATTAATTCAATTATAAATGATGTGACTCACCTTTGACTTACAGCGTATTAACTATGTTCACACTACACTATCTGATAAAGACAACAAGTCAAGGATGACAACAATAACGAAAGATAATGTGCCCTTCTGTGATCAATAACATCTTCAAGAGCATTTAAAGACAGCAACACATCAGTGGCTGAAATGCTAAGAAGCTAACCGTAGCTGACCCGCAGTACGCCTATAGATGGTACAGCAAAAAAACTAACAACGCGATAACAGCTGCTGGTTAAGACATTAGTAAAGGTCTAATCAGTACAAGGACAGCAGAGAGTGTCTAGTAGGTAAATAAATGTGCCAATGTGATCAGAATTAGCAGCTAGCGCTATGCTAACTTCAGATAACCCTTAGCCTCAGTTAGCACGGGGACACTAGAGGACACACACAAGTCAAACGCATCAAAGGCGAATACAGTCAGACAAAATAAGCACGACATAATTGTATATGTTACAATACTATATACATTACACAATGACACTACAACACACAATGTAGCTTAAGTTTAAATCACAAATGATAATGTAAAAAGTGCTGTTGATTTACCCGGTGCCCTCGACGCCATTTTTACCACTCAACTGAGAGCAACCGCGGTGAGTTATTCTTCTTCTTCCTCTTCTTCTCTCAGTTTGTGGCGGATTGCAAACAACTTTAAGGTGCATACCGCCACCTACTGTACAAGAGTGTGTATCACCATATCATCCTATCAACACTTGTGGAATTATACCACTGTATACGTTGTTTTAAATTCTTAAATACTTAAGAATGGCCTTCCTGATAGCTTTTACTCCCTCACCTTCTGTTCCCAGTATCCCCACCAGGCTCCACTCCCTTCCTGCCTCTCTGACCCTGTCACTTAGTTTCCCCCTCTCTGTTTTGTACATGTTGCAGTGTAATATGATGGTTCCACATTTTCTTTCACTCCACACCCCCTGCATTCTTCAGCTTCGCTTTTTCCCATTATAAACATTGCGCCGTTTAATCCTGTATGATCCAATCTATTTGAGTCTAGTGATGATGATCTCCTCCCGTCTGTTCCTTTCTATATAGATCTTTATTATGACTGATTTATGTAACTTGTGGTATCTCCTCCCTTTCTGATCTTCCTCCCACCTTTTCTGTCATATTCCCATACCCTTCTTCTTAATTATTGCTTTTCCTTCTCCTTTTCCAAGTGAAACTGTAACGTTTAGTTTGGTTTAGTTGCGCAATTTTACATTAGTTTTTTTTAAACTGCTTTATTGCCAAATATAGCTAGGGTTACATGGTGACGACATATAACCACAAAAGATATGGAGAAATTAATAATAGAAAATAACACATTATCCATTTATCATGAGTCTTCAAGGCTGAAAATATGTGTTGTATTTATAAACACGCTTTTGGTTATACAAGTTACTTTTGTGAATGTAAAGTTTTGCCAGGTTAATACAAAGACCAATATTATATTACTGTTTTTGTACTGAGCTGCAGACATAAAAAAAAAAAACAGCACATAATAATAGAAAAAAAATAAGTTGAAAAAATTATTTTCCAAAAGTTAACAATACAGGCCTACGGACAGCTACAAATTAGGTTACATGAAAGTTCCATCACCAATTCCACACAAAGTGCAATTTATATCAGTGTACTTTCTTTGTATGTGCTAATAATGCTATGCTGGATAGCATCAAAGGAGAAGTTTAAAACAGACATCTCCTGATTTGTAACATTACTGATTTTCAGTTGGATCTTAAAACGTACTTTGGTTAGAATTTTTTTTTCGAACGTGATTTGTAAATATTTTTACTTCAATCCTAATTTCATCAGCGACGTCTTTAATTTGCTCATTATTTTATCCACATTTTACTTTTATAAAATTACACTATTATATTAAAGAAACTGTAATAAATCGATTATTTTAAACTTATTTTGTTTATCTTAAAGCGCATTTCTGTCATGGAACTAACTGGAATAAAAAACTAGTTTGTAATTAAAGGTCCCATGTCATGGCCATTTCTACTGATCATAATTCCACGTAACAGACCAATCCGCGGAGCCGTTACGTTACGTCACTATACCCAAGAAGAAAAAAATGGAAAAACAGAAATCTCCAACGAGGCGTTCTGGGGCAGCATAGACAGGTCTTTTCTGTGTTAGAGTTTTACTCGCTACAGGGTGTACTTTGAGGGTTTGTGACTCTGCAGACCATTTACATGCATAAAAACCTACATAACACACAAGGGGACGGGTAATAACCAGAAAAGCATGACATGGGACCTTTAATGTATTAAAAAAAAATCTATAAAACATGTTACACTATTGACTTTTTTACTGGTCAAGTCCGTGAACTTAAAACACATCATTCATTTGAGGATAACAACTAGCCATCATCATGATTGGAATGAAAGGTATATGGAGGTAGAACAGTTACAGTGGAAGTCCATTTAAAAGTGCAATGATGGCATGAGTATGAATCCTTTTCAAGTAAATGTTGAAACACCAGATACAAGTAAGAGGGCTGTTCAAAATCTTATTTAAGTAGTAACTGTGAAGGTAAACTTCTGTTGTTGCAATGTTGAGGTAGAATGAAGGAGTCTGGAACCGTTGTTAGCCAAAAGCACTGAAGAGTTTTATTGGAGAAAGTACAGACAATAACGGCCGGGAGATCATCTTAGTTTCACACATGTCCAGTGCTCCACCAGCGATCTCTGAACCAAAAGACACAAAACATCTAACCAACACGAGGAGAGGCGGGCCTCCAGAAAGCCCGCGTATAATCAATAGCCGATGCAAGACAATGATCTGCTTGTCTCAAAGAGATGCTGCCAGATCTCAAACCCCCCCACGGATATCGGAGAAGCGTTTGACCTGTGACCTCAACCTACAGTGGAGTCTTTGAGTGACTACAAGCAGATGTTTGCAGTATCACAGACTCTAAGGAACCATAAAAGACTCTATAAACAGATCAGATGAAAATATTCTCTTACAGTAACAGGTTTATTAATACAAAATAGCAGCAATAATAACTGACCTTTTTCAATATTATATATTGGGGACCTACAATTTACAACATAACAATGCTTCCTACCGTAAACACTGGTTTTCTATGGAATATCTAAATGTGTAAATGACACTAAAAAAAATAATATTTCCCTTTAAATTGTACTGGAGCCGATGAAGAACTTTGTTACATTGCGAAAATCCTCTCAATTTTTTCAAGCAGTTTTCAAAACATAAGTTATGATCAGTCGTAATCAGTGTGGACATTTATTTAACAATGCATTTACAACACTTTCATTCCAACTCAGTTGATGAGCTGAAGTTTACAAGCCTTCATGTCTTCAGGTGTTTGACATTTATTTATTCTTTGCGCTTGATCGTTTGTTTCCTGAAGAATCAGAGAGTCTTTTGGAACAAAGAAAAATCTGCAGATTTGGCAAGAGCCAACTCAGTGCAAAAAACATGATTTGGCATTATCACCAGCCGTTCCAGGGAGATGTAGTTGGGCAGGTCTGGGTTATACTGAGCCTTTCCAAGGTACTCGAGGAACTGGTGGCGCTCTCTGATACGCATTAACCTACAATTTAGGACCTATGGGAAGATATATCAAATGTTAACATTATAATTTTGAATATGCAATAATTCACATTTGTTTTTGTTTAAAAAAAATCAACAACCAAAAGCTTTCATTCTACCTGTGGGAACTTGGCGATCAGGTCGTGGGGCACCTTCATGGTATTGTGGACAAAGTCAAATATTTGGGTCAGCTTCTTTTTGTTTGCTGTCAGAACCTTCGGGACTGTAATAACTATGTGTTGGATCTCGTTTTCCTTGAAGCCGAGCTCCATTTCACACACCTGTTGAAAATATTTACATAAAGGAATTTAAAACACTGCACTCCACAGTTACTCAATGATGTTACCTAATAATGTCCTTTGTCACCCAGTACCTTCAGGTTCTCTTTAACAGGCTCCAGACTGCCACACAGTAATCTGGGTAGACGAGCTAAAATGTGCCGTGTCTGGAGAGAGAAATAAAACAAGCTGTGATATGCTTTTTTCTTTCCTACAAGTCAATTGAATTTTGTGAAAAAATAACAGAGACAAACATGGCTAGGCTTCACAATGAGATCCCTCCCATCAGCCAACTTACATTAGAAGCACTGAGTTTGAGTATCTGCTGGTAGAAGCCCATTCTGTTGTCCAGCCTCTTCACAGTGAAGTTCAGTATATACGGAGCTCTGGACACCATGGATGCAACAATCTCAGAGCTGAACTTCTGTGACTTAAGAAAGTTCACCCTTTGAAACACCAACAAATACAACATTATTAAAGGTCCCATGTCTTGGCCATTTCTACTGATCATAATTCCATTGTTGAGGTCTACTAGAATAGATTTACATTGTTCCAAAATCACATTGGTTTTCTCATACAACATCTCTGTATAGTATGTGTATTCACTCTGTCCTACATGCCTTGTTGGAGCCTTGCCTTACTACATACAGTAAGATTGTTTCATTAAACTTCTCTCATCAATCTGATTCCATTTAGAATCAATTATTTGGAAAATATAAATGACTGTAATGTTTTTTTGTCACCTGGAATGCAGGTTCTCCAAATTATCAGTGAGAACGAAGGGGTTTTGCGTGATGATGTGACCAAAACGAGATTCGTCCACACCTATATCTTTGAGGAACAGCAGCCTTGGGGCCACATCTGTGTTGAAGTCGAGCTTCAGTAGCATGGAGCCCACATTGGGCCTTTGTTCAAGCTTCCACAGATCTACACCTGCAATGAGAAGATAAAAGATCACAAACGTGTAGCTGACATGGGTACTAGATCATTTCCTGTATCACAGTATAGCTAAATATGCCTTAAAACTACAGGTGTTGTGAAATATATTTTAAGAAATCTGAAGTTTAATTACCCAGCTGCACCAGTTTGCTGAGCGTCTCAGACTTGTCAACATAGTCTTTTAGAGAGATGGAGGCAGGGGGGAAGTCAGAAGGGAATGTTATACTGACAGCCTCTTCCTCACTGATCAGCTCTAATGCTGAAACCTCAGCAGCAGCATCCAGATCTGGTAAATGAAGAAAAAAGACAGAACAATGTATTCAACTCCCTCTCAAGATAAATGAACACTTAAATCAAATGCTAGTTATATTAAAGGTCACCTATTATACAAAATCCACTTTTTCATGTCTTATATACATAAACATGTGTTCCCTCTGTGTAAAGAGACTCTGAAAGTTTCAGGAAAAAAGATCCGCTCACTTTTTGTCCTGATCAATTTATATAAAAACCAGTCTGAAAATTAGATGATCAGATTTTGGCCACTTTATGATGTCATAATGATTTGTTGGCTTGTGTAACCATTAGCCAATCACCAACCAAGGTACCCCACACCTTATCACCTGATGCCCCGGCCACACGAGGACGAAAACGGCCGTTTGCGTTACTGTTTAGTGTCATATAGACCGTTCGGCCACACGAGGACGACCGAATACGGCACTAAACGACTGAGGAATCGATAACGGGTCCCAAGGTGGATAGAACGGCATACGCAACGCTCTGGGGGGTCCAACGGCTCCGTGTGTACGCCCTATACGATCATTTTCTGATAATGATGAGGCAATAGCAATAGCCCCGCCTCTCCTGCTCACCCCCGCGTCAAAGTAAACTGCACACTGAATTCAGATTATTTATCTTTCTCTCAATATGGACATAAACGCGAGTGAAGTCTAATCTGACAGGACGGAGACACGCAGCTCTGCTCACCTGCAGCTCCTCCCGCTGTGATGCGGCGGTGAACGGAGTAAAACACACACTTCAAGTCAGATCATCACCCTTAGCTATTTTATTTATTACCTCTCAAACTACCTAAACTAGTTATAAATATGTTTATTTTTACTGTCGGCCGGGTCACTCATTACTGGATCAGCTGCTGCATGAGACAGACACTGACGCTGTCCAAAGAGAGGGTGGAAAAAGAGAGGCTCCATGTATTTTATTATTATAATATATAGATTCGTTATTCATTTGTTTTAAAGCTCAATAAATAACAAAGAAGACCTTTGACCGGCACTTTTATAATTTTGTCGGAAGGTTTAAACTTTAATACACGTTGACTGGCGAAAAACTCTGCCCGGTTCCCTCGGCCCCCACCGCGGAGAATAAACAGAAGGGCAACCATGACAACCATGCTTCTTCGCTGCTTTTGTGGAGGAAGTTACAGCGCCACGTACAGGCTCCTGCATATGTACTGCAGCTTCTCCAGCGGTTGGAGCTAAACGGAGCGGTCTCGTGTGGACAGACACTATCCGGATAACTATTGCGTGTGGACGGAAGCTTGTTTGCGATTGCGTTTGCGTTAATCCTATGCGTTTAGCCGTTTTCGTCCTCGTGTGGCCGGGGTCTGAATCTCCTCCTAGAGCACCATTGTGTTATTTTTAACCAAATACCTCTCAGAGGGGCGTGGGGAGTGGCTCCTTATTTTCATCTAATGTAAAAGACACAGAATAAGCACTTTTGAAACAGAGCTGAAACAGAGGGGTTTATGGGATGCTACAATACATGATCTGTTTGGTATTTTGAGCCAAACACTTCAGAGACATGTTTTGTGTATATCTGAGACCTAAAATATATTGATGAAAAACAGTATAATAGGGGACCTTTAAAAGGGATTTAGGCAAATAAATATACCTAATGGCATATTAGGCACAGACACAGCATCTCTGATTGGCAACAGGGGGCTCTTGTATGCTACAACATTAGCTGTAGAGGTTTCTTCAACATTCTTGTTTTCCAAAGCTTCAGTTGCCAGATGTTTGGTAGCTAAGTCACTGTAACAGAACATCTGTTGTTTCCATCTCTGTCTCGTCTGGCTTGTTGTGTGATTTCCGTTGTTAATCGAGCAATCATTTAGGATTTTGCTTGATCCCCTTGTAATGCAATGTCTAACTTGAGTGTTATACTGCCAGGTGCGAGCCACTGCCTTGGAGCGGAGAAGATTTCTGCCTTGTAGACAGAGCTGTGTACAGGATGAAGCCATGGTGAATCTGCAAAGGAATTATTTGTTTTAGTTTTTCTGTCAAGCATATGAATAATTGTAACATTGAACTATTATAAATAGGTAAACGGTTGACAACAATATCAGGTTGTTATTAGCTTAGTCTTATAGGTCTCCTTATGATGGAATCAATGTATTGTTAGTACAAGTATGAGTACAGTATACATTCTGATTACATTTACTTTTGTAAATGCAGAAGAAAGTTACAATTTGTATCATTCCTACTTTCCAATAAAAGTATTAAAGAGCAGTATAGTACTTGCTCAATCAAACGCATATATATGTTGTAATATCTGCAAGGTCATACTGTTTGTAACTCAATGTGTATATTTGTGTTTTTAACTTCATGCGTATGTTTTTCTAGTGGCTGCTTAATTGAGCTGTTCATGGGTTTGGTAGCGTGTAGAAATAAACACTGTGTCATTCATATTGAGAGAAGTTTAGGAATATTTCACCTTTAAATTTGTTTTGTGTTAATGCAGGTAAGGTTAAGAAATAAAACATACGTTTTGTATATTTTGAACGAAATCTAAAATGAAAATTGTAAATAAGCAATCTGTATGTAAAAAACCCACCTGTATGTAAATTGTAAATAAGCCATCTGTATGTCAAATATGTCTTAAATTATATGAGGAATTTGAAATGGGGGACCCTGATGTAAACAAGACGAAAGTCTTTCTCTGGTCTGTATCCCCTTAACAATTGTATGTGTTGAGCTGTACTGTACTGTACCCAATATACAAGCTGTTAATAAACTTTTCAATCAATCAATAGAATGTTGACATACAAGAGGCTAGGTTTGAAAGCTAGCATGCTACAATAATATAACGCCTCTTATAGTCACCAAAGCCAACATATTATTTTAGATTAACTTTTTACTCACAAGTATTGTATCCTCAACTCAGCTATCTCATTCACCAGTATGTCTCAAAGTCATCCGTTATTAACAACGCGTGGGTAACATTACCGGAAGAATCACCGGAAGTGTCACTTTTGTGGGATGTGCCACAACGGTATATTTGTGGGTGACACCAAAGGCACTTAATATACATAGATAATTTGAAAAGCAAAAATATTTCAATAGGGGAATGACAGTTATACAATCAAAAATGTTCTGTCTTCCACGTTCTTACAATGTGTCTTTGGTTTAAACTACAGCGTGAATCTTCCTATGGTATTTTCAAATATAAACCGCCTCGTTAGCTCAATGGTTTAGTCCATCTACAGTGTTCCTGCTAAACAGCATCTACTTGTCTATCTGCTTTTCAAACTTCTAGTATAAAGGCGTTGCAATTAATAAAATAGCCAACAACTGCAAAATGCCGGTCGCTGTGTCTCCAAAAACACACCGGGAGGATGATGTCAACTATAACTTGCATTTCAGAATGATAAACGAGCAACAAGTGGACGATATCTGCCTTGATTTCTTCTACAAACCGCACACCATCACACTCCTGACAGTCACTGTGCTCAGCCTGATGTACTTTGCGTTTACAAGGTAAACCACAGTGTTTAATGTAATGTAAATATACACTGAGGTAGATAAGCTTGGGATTGTTAACTTGTGATACTGTTATGATACAGGGATGATGAGCAGTCTGATAACAACCTCCGAGTTGGTATTTTGGTGGTTGTCTCCTTCTTCTTGGTCATCAGTATCCTAGCCTTTCCTAATGGTAAGATGTATCTTTAATTTAACACACAGCAATAAATGGTACTCTATTGGAACCAGCCCATGCTTATGTCTTGTTTTCTGAACTGTAGTTCAAAGTCTACTGAGATAAATCTGCAATATATTGACAATGAGTTGATTTAACTTAGGCATTTTTCAAGCACGGATACAAAATATTCTTTTTAAATGCACACATAACTTAACATGTTTGAATGGTCAGCACTATTCAAACGTTTGAAATAAAATTGAGATTTTGAAAAGTTTAAATCTAGAATTAAGTATTTAGAATAACAACACGAGTATGATTTCAGTGTGAAATGCTGGATCTAATTCAACACTAAGTGTAGCCTAAATATCAGGTGGTTGACACTAGATAGCTGAAGTTTTCCATATCGACTGACCTTGGTGGACTTTGAGCAAATGTGCTTTTTCTAGGAATAATACAAACACTTACTCGGTGTTCTTTTTTCTTCATCAGGACCTTTTACCAGGCCACACCCTGCAGTATGGCGAGTGGTGTTTGGTGAGTGTTATCGTTGCATCTTTAAATCAGCTGCTGTTTAGAGAAAGTGATGAGTTAGGCAAATGTACAAAGAAACACAATATTCATATAAAGCTCTTTAAGATCTTTAATGCGTGCACGCATGACGCCTCCCCAGGAGTTCTGCGGTCTATGAGGCTCAGCTTTTTAAAGGCATCAAGACATGCAAGTCACACAAACCCAAACACTCATCAGATGCCCCCCTCCACAGGACGTCATAAAAGGCCCCCAACTTGTTTATCTTCATTCCTGTCTATCCTGTAGTTTCCAAATACATCTGATTTTCTTTGCTTATTTAATCCGTCCAGGTTGGATCTGGGCTAGATTTGTTTCGATCCTAACTCTCTCCTCTCCCCTGTAGGACTCAGTGTGCTGTACTTCCTGTTTCTTGTCTTCCTCCTCTTCCTCAACTGGGACCAAGTAAAGTTACTGATGTACTGGCTGGACCCAAATCTGCGCTATGCCAAACGGGAAGCTGATATCATGGTGAGGATATTTTAGTTTCTTGTACTCTTGATCAGACTAAGTTCAGCAAATGCAGTTCTTATTGTTAAAAGATGTCAGGAGGATCAATGGAAGGATTAAGGATGTATATTTCTTGGATATAGAGGTTGAGGAAATATTTACCAAGGCCTCAGCCTTTCACCCAGTTAATCACTCTCTCCCGTTGTCAGAGTTCGGGAATGTGACCTCAGAAGGCCACTCTCTCCTTGGGAATAGTTTTGACTAGAATTAGAAAAATACTTGGGATTTGGGGAGAGATCTTCAGAATTGCCTGGGCAGGAGTGGTATCACCTCGTTGCTGCAGCAAATCTCTTTGTCAATTCTCTGGCCGCAACTCCCAATAAACCTTGAAGTGTCTGACACACGTTCAATGTCTACAGTGTTCCCCTTGTGTTCTGAGTCCTTGCTCCAGAAAGTAATTTTACAACAGAAAGTTGAGATGAGAAGACTTCAAACGCTTCTTATCATTTAGTCACTTTTCTCTTTCAGGAATATGCTGTGAACTGTACAGTGATAACATGGGAGCGGATCCTGACCCACTTCGACATCTTTGCATTGGGTCACTTTGCAGGCTGGGCTGTAAAAGCGCTGCTCATCCGCAGCTACGGCCTCTGCTGGACCATCAGCATCACCTGGGAGCTCACTGAGGTAAAATGCATCTGTTCAAGATGTGGCCCAAAACAGAAATGTAGTTTACGAGGTCATTAAAATGATCTGCACATAACAAGAGCTGTCGCTGTGACTGCTGCCAGTTGTTGACTCGGGAGCTTAGATTACAGCATTTAGCCTGCCATGGGATTTACTCATCAGAGAATTGACTGCGTTACCAATCAACAAGGTACAAAAATAATCCAAATATCAGACTATAGAAGGCTTCAAATGGTTTATTAACTAAGGCTCCTCTAACAATGCAACATATAATCTACTTAACATAAAAGTAAAAGAGTTAAAAGTGCAATAAAAAGACAGTTGTACAGTGCATTATGAACATACAGTGCTTTAATGGTGAACCTTTACAGAGCTCAGGAGTTTAACAGTCTATGGCCTGTGTGATAAAACTGTCTCTGAGTCTGTTGGTCCAGGAATGTTGTCCCGTGATAAAAAAAAAGAAGCTATTTCACAATGTATATAAAGAAAATGTTTATGTTCACACTGCTTTCTATTTTTTTTCTCCACAGCTGATCTTCATGCACCTGCTGCCGAACTTTGCAGAGTGCTGGTGGGATCAGGTGATTCTGGACATCCTGTTGTGTAATGGAGGAGGCATCTGGATCGGTATGACCGCCTGCCGGTATTTGGAGATGAGAACCTACCACTGGGCCAGCATCAAGTCAGTTTGGCTCTTGTTCTTAATCTTCAACTTTGATCTTTTCTTTACACTGTCCTTAATAAACACTTAAAATGCCTCTTTTAAAAGCATAAGGTTTAATTGGTAGCTTACTTTTTATGCTGTTTACTTTTGATACATCTACAAAATCAGGTAGTCCTGGCAGATTCTTATATAGTTTGTGATTCTAAAGCTATGCATACTACGTTCAATGCAAGATCACATTTTGTTGGGAAAATACTGAATGTTCCTTCTATATCAGAGTAGCACATGATAACAGAGGCCCTACATGTATGGCTACATGGATGACGCTCATGAGACACTGTGTTGAAGTTATGATAGCTATGTTCCTAATATTGGGGACACAGCCCCTAGAGAGATAGGCGTATGACTCATGTTTATTGCTTACGCAGGCCTTAGTTAATATCAGTGACGTGCGGTGAGGTTCATGGCTGGTGAGGCACTGACTCTTTCAGAGTCAGATTTACAAATATTATATTCTGACCTTAATCGAAATATTCTGTTATTTTCAAAAGCTTTTTTGGTCTGATGTTTCGATTAATTTGAAACAGACCGTTCAACAAAAGGATACCCACAATCTAAATATTGGATTGTTCTTTCTTAGTAAGATCCCATTTTCATTACCAATGTGGTCTTACCTTGACTTGAAGATGAAGTCCATGCTATCCTTCTGGACAACAATCTCTATTACTTTTTTGTAAAAGTCCTCCTTATTTTCCTCTAGTTTCAAAAGTCTAGTTTGTTGTTTGAGTCTACGGTCTACCGTCTCTGCGTAGAATAACAGTAGCAACAAGGACCTGTGGGCTCACGTGCGCCCCCTTCAGTGCGGCAGAGGTTATGGCTGCCTCCCCTGGTGCTTTTTCATTGCCGTTGTACGGCGAGCCTAAATATCATATATACGTGAAATAAGTTATTTAGAGACTATGGATGGCGAGGATAAATGTAATAAAGGGATCTACAAACATTACATTGGTGACATACAGTGAGATGGTGCCCGCTTTCCAGACAGTTTCTGTGAGGTGACGCATTTTGAGGTGAGGCAGAGCTCATCTGTGCCTCACCTTACCACACAGTAACTGGCTTGAGCGCGCTCACAAAATAAGTGCCCGCGCTAAATTAGTGCCCGCGCTCCAGCAAATTACTGTGGGCTTACGTGAGGCAGAGCTCGTCCCTGCCTCACTTCTCATCGCTACCCGTAGTTGTAGCGGAGCTCGGCAAATTTGCTGATTTTGACTATAAAAAGCGATTGGAATCATACATAAATCAACAACACAGATCAGTGAAGACATTTTATTATTATTACTATTTAGTTTTTCTTTAGTTGTTTTTCCGTTACATTGTAGTATGGCCAGTCTATGAGTATGACAGGTGAGGCTCTGCCTCCCCTGCCTCCCCTGACTGCACGTCGCTGGTTAATATTTACTAATGTCAGAATACTGCTTTGAACCAGTATTCTTCCATCTTGTTGACTGTAACACCCTCTCTTGTATACAGTGGGGCAGTATTTAGTCAGCCACCAATTGTGCAAGTTCTCCCACTTAAAAAGATGAGAGAGGCCTGTAATTTTCATCCTAGGTATACCTCCACTATGAGAGACAAAATTAGAAGAAAAAAAAAATCCAGAAAATCACATTGTCTGATTTTTAAAGAATTTATTTGCAAATTATGGTGGAAAATAAGTATTTGGTCAATAACAAAAGTTCATCTCAATACTTTGTTATATACCCTTTGTTGGCAATGACAGAGGTCAAACGTTTTCTGTAAGTCTTCACAAGGTTTTCACACACTGTTGCTGGTATTTTGGCCCATTCCTCCATGCAAATCTCCTCTAGAGCAGTGATGTTTTGGGGCTGTCGCTGGGCAACACAGACTTTCAACTCCCTCCAAAGATTTTCTATGGGGTTGAGATCTGGAGACTGGCTAGGCCACTCCAGGACCTTGAAATGCTTCTTACGAAGCCACTCCTTCGTTGCCCGGGCGGTGTGTTTGGGATCATTGTCATGCTGAAAGACCCAGCCACGTTTCATCTTCAATGCCCTTGCTGATGGAAGGAGGTTGTCACTCAAAATCTCACGATACATGGCCCCATTAATTATTTCCTTTACACGGATCAGTCGTCCTGGTCCCTTTGCAGAAAAACAGCCCCAAAGCATGATGTTTCCACCCCCATGTTTCACAGTAGGTATGGTGTTCTTTGGATGCAACTCAGCATTCTTTCTCCTCCAAACACGTCTAGTTGAGTTTTTACCAAAAAAGTTCTATTTTGGTTTCATCTGACCATATGACATTCTCCCAATCCTCTTCTGGATCATCTAAATGCTCTCTAGCAAACTTCAGACTGGCCTGGACATGTACTGGCTTAAGCAGGGGGACACGTCTGGCACTGCAGGATTTGAGTCCCTGGCGGCGTAGTGTGTTACTGATGGTAGCCTTTGTTACTTTGGTCCCAGCTCTCTGCAGGTCATTGACTAGGTCCCCCCGTGTGGTTCTGGGATTTTTGCTCACCGTTCTTGTGATAATTTTGACCCCACGGGGTGAGATCTTGCGTGGAGCCCCAGATCGAGGGAGATTATCAGTGGTCTTGTATGTCTTCCATTTTCTAATAATTGCTCCCACAGTTGATTTCTTCACACCAAGCTGCTTAACTATTGCAGATTCAGTCTTCCCAGCCTGGTGCAGGTCTACAATTTTGTTTCTGGTGTCCTTTGACAGCTCTTTGGTCTTGGCCATAGTGGAGTTTGGAGTGTGACTGTTTGAGGTTGTGTAGGTGTCTTTTTTACTGATAACGAGTTCAAACAGGTGCCATTAATACAGTTAACAAGTGGAGGACAGAGGAGGCTCTTAAAGAAGAAGTTACAGGTCTGTGAGAGCCAGAAATCTTGTTTGTTTGTAGGTGACCAAATACTTATTTTACCGAGGAATTTACCAATTTATTCATTAAAAATCCTACAATGTGATTTCCTGGATTATTTCCCCCCATTCTGTCTCTCATAGTTGAAGTGTACCTAGGGTGAAAATTACAGGCCTCATCTTTTTAAGTGGGAGAACTTGCACAATTGGTGGCTGACTAAATACTTTTTTGCCCCACTGTATAAGCATATCAAGGACTCTACTCTGGGAACTATTTGTCCCACGCAGCCCTGTGTGTGATGACTACTTCCATTCTTGCAAGGATAATAAATACATGTATCCTGATATTGAAGATCAAGCCGGTGACGAGTGATATTTTTCGAACACATTTGTATGAATCTCGATATCCTCTATAAAGTGCGCATATTTTGTTCAGGGAAATCCACACCACCACAGGGAAGATAAAGCGAGTGGTGCTCCAGTTCACCCCGGCCAGCTGGACTTATGTGCGCTGGTTTGACCCAAAGTCCTCCTTTCAAAGGCTGGCAGGCATCTATATCTTTATGATCCTCTGGCAGGTACTGTGCTGTATTCCTTGATCTTTGATTTGCTTTTTGAATTGTCTGCACTGTTAGAGCTGTATCTGCTGATTATCAATTCATAATATTCTCTAGAAAAACTCCACATTTGTTAGTTATCTTGCTGCTCACACAAAATATCCATAAGTAATCCTTTAACCTTGTCCGTCTTACATCCTTTATCCGCACAGCTGACAGAGTTAAACATGTTCTTCCTGAAGCACATATTCGTCTTCCAGGCGTCTCACGCTTTCAGCTGGTTACGCCTCATCGTCCTTGGAGCCATCACTGCACCCACTGTACGGTATGTTCAGCCTTCAACTACACCAATGTGCAACAAAAGTCTGGAAACAATGTTTATGGTAGTATTTATTCCTGGTGTTACAAAATTAAGTGGCATTTGTTGGCCGGTTTTTGTCTGACATTCAAAACTTAAAATGCTTACTATGTTGTTGATAAGTGAAAATGTCCTTTTTTTTTAACCTCTTTCAGACAATATTATGCATATATGACTGACACTGAGTGTAAACGAGTTGGCACCCAATGCTGGGTGTTTATGTAAGTATATTTTGTCTTATCCCTTAGAAACATTTAACAGGACTGGGTATTCCCTGAAAAGAAGAGCATACAAAAATAATTAAATTGGCGATTACAAAAGGAGGGCATTTGCAGCAGAGCAAGGTCAAATACAATACCATTTTAGTCATAGCTTACTGTATTATAATGCCACACCCTTTGTATTAAAAGTGTTTATTTCCAGTTGCAGACTTGCAGACTGTTATTCCATTATGTTTTTAATTGGTATTATTTGAAGGACTGTCACAACATTTTGAGTTTTCCTCATTTCTTTTTTTATTGCAAATGCCATGTTTTGGGTCAAACCCACTTGTATCTGCCTGTCAATAAAATTGCAGCATTGTAGTTTTACAACTGATAGCAGTGAACTTTGTCCAGTGTATGGTAGGTTTCCTTTGATCTTGTCGACATATAGCACAGTAAAGGGGATGTGCTGGATGGCCATCCCTGTTTTTAAATCAAACAAATCAGAGCGGCAGTTTAACGACACGTGATTTGGGTTTATGGTTGTGTAATGTATTGGCCGGCTAAGCAAGGTATGTTGTAGATTCAAATATGATAACCAATCAGATTTTGACACACCTTATTTCAGTTACCGACTACTTCCTTCAAGTGGGAACATATCAATCAAATTTATAGCGGTACACACTGAAACCAGTTTTGTGTTAGTCAAATGCCCACAATCTCGCCCTTTTTTCCCTGATTTTACAAGCTTATACGACAGGCAAATGGTTCATGTTTAAACAGGTTTTATATTCCGCTTTTTTAACAGTGTACTTCTAGCAGTCAATTGAAATTCATAACGTAATGTAGTTATTGACCTCACCTGAGACTCAAAGCTGCATATACCCTCAGTCTGCTCTAGTTTCCATAGCAACGAGACAGGCTCCCTCCGTCTGCATGACACACATAACGTTGAATAAGGCTCTCTTGTTCAGACTTTACAATTGAGTTGCATTCCCCACAGCAGGAGTATAGCGAATGAATATTGTTACGGGTATGAACGGCGAGGGAACAATAATAAAAAGCACATTCATCTGCCGCCAGGTGTATGCATCCACAGAGGTGCTCCACTGCAATGAAATGGTGCTACCATGAGAGGGGGCCATTGTAAAATACAAAAACTTCCCCTTACCATTTATCTAACACTTGTATATTTCCCTTTAGTGCCATCTCTCTCCTCGAGGCTCTTGTTTGTGTTAAATTTGGTAACGACTTGTTTTCCAAGACACAAGTTCGCTATGTCCTCCTGTGGCTGGTGATTCTGGTAAGAAAAACGAAAGTGTATATGTGTGTGTGTGGACTGATGGAGGTTAAGCTTCACTGAATAGATGCATCCTGATTATGCAACTATATTTCCTGTGCAAAGACCATAACCGAGATGCCTTTATGTACATTTTCATAAAGGGAAACCAACCACTGTTAATGTATATTACACACCTTCATGGACAAGTATTGAAAGGCACTGGATTTCATGCTGACCTCTGCTTTCATGTTTCTGTTTCGTAACAGTCACAAATGTGTGTCAGAGATCTGAAGCATGTTTTTAAATCTGATTTGAGTGCTTAACGCAGCTGCATATTTCCTGGATGCTACTCATGAGTTCATCACAGTGTTTGACCCCTTCAAACAGCTCAAAGATGTAACTATTTCCATTCTTGCTAGCTTGTTCACATGCAAAACAAGTGTGGTTATATTTATTTCTGATAAAAATAATTTTTTCTCATGCCCTCGGGGGTAAAAAAACAAAAGAAGAGTTTAACTTTAATGCTTTCTCTTCTACATTTTAGGCCTTCATCACACTTCTATGTCTATATGGGATGATGTGGTACGAGCAAAAGAAAATGAAGGTGAGATGTTGTTTAGTTTTTTTTTTTTTAAACCTTCTGTTATATTTTAAGAATTAATTTACTTGTATATATAGTCAAGATGACTCATTGTAGTTAAAATAAAATCCACAATAAGTCCTTTTTAATTCACTTTGAGTTGTAATACTAGGAAAAGCACAGGTGTTAACATTAGCTGTTCTATTCAAGTTTGACAGTGAGTCAGTTTGTACAATACCAGGAACCTGAAATAAATTATGTTATTACTATTTATACTTTCCCTGTCCTACTGTCTGTTAATCCCTGTGGTGTTTCTTGCTTGCTATGTAGTTACTCTTTAGAGCTGTTCCTCCTTTTTGACCACTCTAAACCTCCTTCTGTTTACAGAGCCTTTCTGTACAAAGTGAAGACCACGATGACAGCAGTGTTGACGAGTCGTGCGGTGTCGTCCCAGTTGGCAAAGCAGGTTAGTCTCTTAAAAGGCAGATTAATGACCACTTTTCTTTAAACTCCATCCCAAATGTAAAGCATACTTTGTCTGTTTCCCTTCATAGCTGAGAGAGATTCATTGAGTTTACAACCTACAAAACTGAGGGAAGAATCTGTGAGGAACAGATTTGTGAATGAACATGGAGGAAAGGAACAATAAACAAGAGCACTTTTAGGAGGACGCGACCAACAAGGAGCATAGAGTATGCAAATAAATGTACTAAAAACATGTTGTAAAAGTTGCTTCCTAGGGGTAAGAATGCAGACTCCAGAACAAATTCACACCAGCGAGCCTTTATACAATCGGGTCAAAGGTGAAACACCAATTACAGCTTAGGCAGCATTTACATATCTTAATACTGAAGGAAAAGCACGTAATTGGTCTTGCATTCGATGTCAGTTATTTCAACCAGACTTGATCAAGTAAAGAATATGCACTGGATTTTAATGTTTTTTTTACCAAAAACACTACACACATATCACACATCATGTTCTACCTAAAATTACTAAACGTTGTTTGGACACTTTGCCCTGTGGGAAATGTAATGTCCAGTCCAGGGAAATGTTTATACTAATGTTTACTAAGAGTTTTGTTTTGCACCTAACCTCTTTAACTATTTTTTTAATATGACTGTCTACTCAATGTAATGCCTTGCTAGAAAGCTAAAGAGCACATCGTTTTGTAAGACATTTCATTTGGTGATGAGTTTTTGTTTAACTTTTTGGATTTGATACATGTTTGTATGTAATCATTTCTAAAATCAACCACAATTAACACTGATTTGTAAAGCAGTGTTAGATACACTACTGTTTGCTTTTCTGCAATTATATTTATATCAGGAGAGATGTTTTTGTGTACTTTAAATGACAAGTAGAACCAAGTGTTACTAGACCAACTGTAGTGTTTTCAAGTTACCCTTTTTAACTCCAAATTATGTGAAACTGTGGACATTAGTGTTTCTTTGTTATTATAGGGTGAAGTTCATGATAGGTGTGCTAAGATAATACTGTGACATTTAATGCAAAAGCACTGTGGTGGTATGAAATATCAGAGGATACGCACTTGTGAAATTATCTTTTCACTGGCTATTGATTTTTTTAATGATCCTAATGAATGTGATATTAATATCAGAAAGTTAGTGACTAGTCAATATTAGTTGTTTTTAATATCATTAAATTATGCAATAAAATTCATATTTGATAGAGTGTGTTTTCAAACTTCCTAGTTGTCAGCTTTTTTAATTTGTGTTTGTTTGAATTACACTTTTTTGTTGTCGTTCTGCCGGTTTTAGTCCTTTGGCTCTCTACAAAGCTGTAAGTGTCAGCCTGACTGTACTGTATTTCATTTAAAGTGTTAACATTGTTATAACCTCTAATAAACTCGTAATTTGTACTGATTATAAATGTATATGGGTTGGTTTGCTTGTTTTTGAACACATTATTAAATGACCACATAGTTTTTATTCACAAAATGAAATTTGGATTTCATGGAACAAAGGTTGAGTTTCATTATAGTGATGATGGCTGGGGTCCTGGTCCTGATGCATTATGCATAGGGAATCAATCACGAATTTGGCTAAAGTTATTAAAACATTAACCAGTTTTGTCTTCTAAAAAGACTGCGTTTTTGCTACTTAAAGATAAGAATGGAGAAACCAGCTCGTAAGCTAGAATTTGAAAGTACACAACCGAAAAAAATCTGCCCCTTCCTTCAGACTTCCTTACAGATGGAAGGCTGACAGGCAGGTAGGCCATTCAATTATCTGCCGCGGGCCGAGGCAGATAATTGGACTTGCTTTTTACAGCGCCAAGGCTTCCACACAGATGAAAATGATATTTGTATTTATTCAAAGCATTTTAATGTATTCATTCAATATAACAAAAAGTGTTTCTGAAGTGAATTACCTACCCTATCTTTAAACATTCCATGATTTATTTGAAAAAAAATCGATCAATCGACCGTCAGTATGGCGGGTATTTAAAAAAAAACATGTCAAATTGTTCAGTAAAAATTACACAAAAAGAACCCTATGATAAAGCCATGTGGAACAACGTCATGTCAAACCTTTCCTCTTTGTTACGTTCAGCTACTACATTTCCCAGAGTTCCTTTGTGTGTGGCCGCTGTGCTCGATGACAGCTATCCGGCGCCGAAACACCGATAGACACTCAGACGAAAGAGCCATGGCGGCCACGGGTGGAGGGAAAATTAGAAGCAGGAGATATCACATCGCCTCTAAACCTTACGCCAAGAGTAAACAGGTAAACCCAGTGAAAGTGTTCGTATTTAAGGCCCGTTTCGAGGACGTCATGGTGATTGCGGTGCCATTATGTCTTAGCTCTTGTTTTTGTTTTGTTAGAGAGATTTCATGGCCTGCTGTTAGCGCTCGTGGCCTCCACGCGCTGCTAGCATGTAGATGAAATGCTAGTGAGTTGGCTTATATGTTAGCAAAATCAGACGGACTTGACAGGTCAAATCACTGCACAGTGAGTCGTTTAGACTAGTTACCCACTATTTGGTCATGTGCAACTGCACACATGACGCGTTGGGATGACCAACGTCAGCTCTATTAGCAGGTTATTAGCTGCTAGCTAAGTTAGCAAAGAAGTAGATTAGAAGTGTTAGCCGATGTAGCTAATGCTAACTAGCTAGAAGGCTAGCATTAGCGAGCAACGTATTGTTGTCTTCGCTTCTTAAGTTTTTAAGTCCTCACGGCGTCACAGGGAGAAGTGACATTGTGATGAACTACACCCTTCCATAGCTACGGGTAGCCGCATTGCGTGTATTTAGATCTTAAGATTGTGTTTCTTTCGGGTCTGCCGGGAATCAATGTGGTTGTTAGGCTAGCTTACGTTAGCCGAATCTCAGCCGGTTGGATTGCGCAGGAAGCATCGGATGAATCCACATGGCTGCATGAGGGGACTCCACTTGCCGCCTGGACATCAGCTAATGTTATCTTTAAAGCACCTTTTAATGTTACAGTGGACAAGCTGTATCTGGATTTATACATGGCAGATTCGATTAACTATTTTGCACTCCTTACGTAGAATATTGGGAGGTTGTTGATATTAATGCCAGTTTATTGTGGTAGTTATCGGACGGAAAGCTTCTTCTTTTTTTAAAGGCCATGGAGTTTCTTTGACAATAGTTGTACTAGTGAAAGTGGTTTTCATGATCATTGTGATTATGTTTAAGGTTATCAAGTATCACTCAATATCACACAACAAGATTTGAATGGATAGTCATTGTTTATGATTGATATCTGCACTTTGTATTAAATACTTGTTAGCCCATCACATACAATATATATATTCATAATGAACTATGTAGATTATATAAACTATAGAAAGCAAATGGAGGTTTATATATTGGTACCATCATGTCACACTTCTTGCTCTACCTTAATCCATATACAATTAGAAACAGTTCTTAGCAAAAATGCACAGAAAACGGCAGCTTGCTAAATAACTATAAAGTTCATAAAAACTGTTAAATTGTGAACAATAATTTGTGCAGAGTTGAAGTAGACCTAATTAATTGTCAACTTAGGGAATACAGGGCTTAGTGAAATTGCTTCAGCATCTATACACACCACAGTCATGTAATGTCAAACAGAGGTTGCTGACTTGGCCTGTCGTTTCATCAACCAAGTCCTGACACAATATCCCACTTTATCAACAATCTAAATATTCTATTATTAGGGATTTGACTGGACTAATGCATTGATGCCAACAACAAACTGACAAACATGAACATGTCATATTTATTTTTTAATAAATGAGTTGAACAACGTCTCCATGACATTGGAGTCATGATTACATCTGCTAATGCTCATACATCTGTGTAAATGGCAAATAACGTGGAAGTGTCTGAAGTTCATAAGAAAAGGTCTGGACTAAATTCAGCCCAAAACATTTAACATCCACATTTTATGTACAGTTATCCATATGAGGTTGCTGTATTCAGTTCACAAAACACTGGTTAAAAAGCAGGAGCATGATAAGACATGCATTGTTTATGCCATCATTGTCTTGATTCATGTAGCAAGGTGTGGGTTTGCTTACTGAGGAAATGGAGTCTTTCTAATCAATAATTACCTTATCACGTGACGGCCAATATGTGACAATGAAGCTGACTTTAAGGTTTAAGATTTTGAGGTGTGAAGAAGATGCATCACATTGGTTATTGTAAAAACATGTATGCACTGATCGACTAAGCTTTTACTGGCCCGGCAGTTTTACATGATAGCTTTCAGAGAGAGCACTGGTAATGACAACATATCCTTGAGTCACATGACCGTGCCCACAGCAGAAATGTGGCACCCTTAAATCCTTATAACAATAGCTATAGTAGAGCTACGTAAACTAGTACTGGGGTGGATTGTACACTTGCCTTTGACTAGTTGAACTTGTGTGCACTAAGGTTAAAGTGCAGGATGGCTCACAGGTGTATTTGTCTAGATAAGCAGCAAACTTGGGGCCACATATGGCTCTTATCAGGAGTTGAAAGCCTCCATGGGTTATACAGTGTGAACATGTAGTGATACAACCGCTAGCTAACCCCTTCACTCAACTCTGCCTTATCTTTCTGCTCTCTAGTCACAAGAACATTGGACAGCATAGCCAAAATATGAAGAGGTCCAACTCTAAAAATCAAAGAGCTAAAGAAATACATTTTGAGAATAAAAGAAAACTAGATAAACCAGTCAAAAGTTTAACATTGTCTTGTTCAATGCTCTCCAATACACCCTTCCCTTTAATAGGCCGATGCATTTATGGGCTTTTTAGATAACGAGTACCTGTAAACTAGGCTGCTTTTGATATGTTCCGTAAGAGACGAGATTAATCCGTATTGACTCGATTTCATCTCAACCTCAGTACAGAGCAGACCAGCGTCACTGGCTCTTTGCTTCACAGAAGCAAACACAGCGTCTGACCCAGTTGCACGCTGTCATACTTGGCTTCTTTTTTGCTTTGCACTGGGGAGGACTTACGTCCTCTCATTGCAAGTGGGTCTGTGCAGCTGATTCTAATAATAAAATGCTGTGTTGATTGCTGTGTTTTGCAACTGCTGTGTGTGATTTTATAACGATTTAAATTAAGGGGAGTTGCTTATCTTCAAATTCAATATTCTTGAAAACCGAATAAATATAGCACCAGCATCTTATCTGTTCTCTTTTCCTCAGTTTAGTAGTTGAAAAACAAATCCATAAGATTCATGTAGCATAAGTGTTCGAGTATGCAGCGTTAATTTAAAAGCATCGATTCTATTCCATTGCTGATTGATAAGAGAATTTCAATCTGATGAGGACCTTGTACTACAAGTAGTGGCCTGAGTTAGTGGTACTTAATTTAGCTGATATGCATTCATGTCTGCTTCTCGCTCATTTCAACTTTCTTTTTTTTTACGACTTCTTATGTTTCTTTTTTCTGCAGCCGTCAGGCATCATCAGTCGAGTGACAGACACAGTAAAGAGCATCGTTCCTTCCTGGCTGCAGAAATACTTCAAGAAGGAAGATGCTCCTGAAGGAGGAGGAGATGGACTGGGGATGGAGCAGAACTGCCAGACTCCTCCTCCTCCCAATGGCAGCGAAGAGGGCCCTCCTCTGCTTGATGGACGAGACTCCCCAGAACCAAGCACCAGTAACACAGGTGAGCGACTCAGTCAGCGTCACATCTCAGCAAACCATTTGATGTCCCACGCGAAGGAATTCCTATATTTTGCACTTATTTTGTGTTGTTAACTTTACCATCCTGCTCACCTCTGACTTTTCCCTCTCTCAACCAGAGCCTTCAACCAGCCGGGCTTCCCTGAACTTTCAGGAGTATGTGCTTTCTCGTCCACCTCTGAGTCGTTCCCATCTCCACTTTCCCCCACTGGATGCCTCTTCCCCGACCCTGGGGTCCCCCAGCAACCTCTTCTCCCAACCCTCCACCTCCTCTGCCCCTGGACCCTTTTCCACAGGCTTCTCCTTGGTCAAAGAAATCAAGGACAACCTATCGCAGCACGAAGATGATAACATCTCCACCACTAGCGGATTCTCCTCCCGCGCCTCAGAAAAAGGTAAAGTAAGAGAGTTTGAGGGAACATAACCAAATGTTATTAAAGTGATCAATTTAATGTTCATAGAAATGTAATTTTAAGGGGTGATATAGATTTAACTCTTCAGAATTAAGTTTATTGAAGATACTATACACAGAAAAATCATTGTCTGTAGACTGGTTACTGTTGAACTCTAATAATTGACTCCAATTGATAACCACTGAAAGATGTTTTTTGTGGGACATGACCTCACACCTTTTATCCTCAAAAACGTTATAGTATGTTGTTACCATGAGGATAATCTATCTGAAAATATTGCACCAACATTGTAATATATCTTTGGCATCCTGTTTTGATTCCACTCAAATGGAAATATGTAGGAAATATATTGTTTCAGTTTTTACAGGCTGGTGTAGGCAGCTTTCTTTCCCTCATGTATGGATTAGCTCAATCATGGGTTGTATAGATCGGGCCGCTAAGTTTATATTTTGTTCGTATTTTGCATGTCTTAAACAGATGTTCCCACTTCCAAAACAGCATCACTTCCACAACTTTGGTCCCCAGAGACGGACAGAACGCACTCTCACGGCTCTCATCATGCTCACCAGTCCAGTCTGAAAAGGCCTGCTTTCAACCTGTCTGTATTTGGAACTTGCTCCAATGTGAGTATCTGTTCATCAAGTTACTGAGCAACGCATGCTGTGAGAGCAGATTTGTGATCAACATGTTGTACATCTCCTTCTTGCTGCATGCCAGACACCAGTCTCAGTATGAACAACTGCTTTAGTGTGCATTCTCATTAGGACTTCTACCAAGAATGACAATTATAAAAAGATCTTCAGAGTAACAATACCATTTTGAGCCAAACCCCATTTGCTGGTTATATATTTAAATATTCATAGATACAAATATTTGACATTACTTCATTTGCAAAAGAAAAGGCTAGTTTTTTATGCGTGAAAAGTAGGGATCGACCGATATGGCTTTTTCAAGGCCGATACCGATTATTAGTAGTCAAGGAGACCGATAACCGATATTTGGAACCGATATACATATGCAGTAAAATCAGAAAATCTTGGTGTCAAAATGTAGAATAACACAAACTCCATCACAACTTCTTTGAAATGCATTTAAGCATATATTATGTTTAATGAACTTTTAAACATCTTACAACTGGTTTCCTCTCTGTGCCCTTTTCTTTAGTGCAGCCATCTGCAATGAGTTAGAGAGAGAGACAGAGTTAAAAGTGGGGCTGACATGCTTAACTGACAATAATGCTTAATTTATTATATCAAAACAATGTCTGTCTATCTAGCATAAAATCCCAATAAGCTGCTAGCAACTGCAAAACACTAGTGTTAGCTAATGTTTTGCAAAATATTAAAAGTGAGGCTATTACAGTAGACCTAACGTTAGTCTATTAGCCTCACTTCTAATATTTTGCTAAACATTTGTTAGATACATGTTGGCGAGCTAATGAGCTTCACATATCAACCTGAAAAACTGCGAGGCTCCACTCGCAGCCCCCCCCCCCCTCCGCACAACAGTTACTCCGCTGCGAGACGCTGCACGCACCCCCAACTCACTGACTTCCCGCGTCCCTGTGTAACTGGGAAACTGATAGAATTGGATCATAAGATCGTGGTGTTTTTGCAACTTCAGCGTAGGGGATAGGGATGTTTATTGAACTTCGGTTTAACACATGTATGGCTCTGCCGCTCAGCGCTGCTGCTTGCTTCAGTCTGTGTCTGCGTTCTTTCCCACTGCCTGTAATCTGAGAAGGTCCCGCCTCTCTGGCTGGCTCCCGCCCGGAAAATCTTCAGTGTTGATTGACACTTTAGTAATAGCCTATCAGATAGCGCTGTGGGCGGGACATTGCTCGCGTACACAGAGTGGTGACTGCAGCCAGAGAAACGACCGCATCAGAGCCAAAGTTTTATCGGCAATTTGATAAAAGAAAGGCCGATACGGATTATCGGTCGACCCCTAGTGAAAAGGGCAGATATCTTTGATTATATTATAGTTTGTTTGGCTACCTTAACCTACTTGCTCTTATATCATACATTCAATCCCTCAATCCTTAAGTAATGTGATTTAACCCTCTCTTCCAGTCGTCATTAAACAGCACAGTGCTGAACTCCAGCCAGCTCGGAGATTCCCCCTTCTACCCCGGGAAGACCATGTACGGGGGGGCAGCGGCAGTCAGGAGCGCTCGAGGTCGTCCTGGAACACCGTACCAGGTGAGCTAGTGAGAAACACACACGTTAGAAACTTCTCAATGCCGAGTTAGATATTTAACAAAGAAGTTAATGAATGTAAAGCTGTCTTTTTCTATACATTTTGACTTTGAACTCTCCAACACTGGTGTGGTGAAGGTTTTGATCACACCCGTGTTGTAAAGTCTGGTGTGATGAAAATGAAGGTTTTGATCACACCAGACTCAAACAATCCTTAAGCGACCTCCGCTGGAATCTAATTCTACAGATAATATAATAGTTAATATACAGAAATATATGCAGCTTATCATTTGTAGCTTGTAAAGTTTGTAAAGTCATAGCATGCATGTGACGGGAATATTGTTAATATAAATGGAGACTAAATGACCTCATCTGATCTGTAGGCCCCAGTGAGGAGACAGATCAAGGCCAAGCCTGCTGGGGCTCAGCCCTGTGGGGTGACCAGCGCCACAGCCAGGCGCATCCTTCAGTCCCTGGAGCGCATGTCCAGCCCCCTCGCTGTGAGTACAACACACACGCACGCACGCACGCACACACACACACACACACACACACACACACACAAATAAATAATCCTCTCCTCTGTTCAAACTTCATCTCAAAGTGTGACAGTGGTAAGACATTTTATATTTTGCAAATGAACACAGTAATGTAAACGGTTTATTTTCTAAAGGATGCAAGGAGAATCCCATCGGCTGCCTCGTCCCCCCGTTCAGCAGTAAGAGCTTTTCATATATTGACATATAAAACATTAGTTTGAAGCCGCTCATTTTACATCAATTGCTGTTTGTGATAACTAGATTTTCCTCAACAATTAACACATTTTCTTACATTCATTTTTTTCTTTGCAGTCAATGGATGGTTCAAATCTAGATGTTTCACATTATCAGTCGAAAAAGAAACGTGTAAGTACAGATTTTAAGATTCATGTGACAGCATTTTCGCCTGCCTGGTTTCTCTAAAACCATTTGTGTGTGTCTATCTTTATATGCCTTGTTTTCCTGATGTTATGATGATTGCTTCATATTTGTCCCTGAATGACCCGAAGGTTAATCTGTGTATGCACGTCAACAACTAAGCTCCACTTGTGTTTTCTGCTTAGTGTTTTTTCGTCAGGCTCAAGTCTTTTTGATATGAACAAAGATAGATTTGTGCAAACCCAGCAGCACTTGTGGCCGTTTGTCTTTCTGCCACTTCCTGTCCTACTGTCTGTTGGCCTTATACACCAGGCTCTTTGGCTGGGACACAGCTGTTCACCACAGTGTGTGTTTGTGTGTGCGCCTGTGTGTTTATATGCGCAAGTGCTTGTAGGCAAAAGTGAACTATACTCTAAGATGTATGTGGCTTTTGAAATGGTGTGTTTATGAGTGCAGTGGGTTAAGTGTAGTCCATTGTTAAATCGTGCCAGCTCTGGACTTGTCCTCAGTAATAACTGTCAGGCTTTACCAGCTGCGACAGCTGCTTTGTAAATCTGAACAATGGTGTATTGACCCTCACAGGTCCAAAGCAAGAGAGCCTGCTGTGTAACTGCTATGTATGCTTTAGCAGTGTCCAAAATATACTCCAACCAACCCTAGGTTTCTTTGTCAAAACCGATATTTTGGGTTCTAATAACAATTTATTAGCTAATAGTTTCTAATTTTTTTAGCATAAAAAAGAAAAGGCCCCTGCAGAGTGCAAACCAGTTTCAAAAAGTGAAAAATAGTTATTGTACCTTGCCATATGATTTGACTCAAATGTGAAGAATATTCCTTGGCCCATGCTCCACCCTTCTACAAAGTGTCATCATTTGTTTCTTTAAAGAATTAAAGAAATGTGACCTAGATTCATACAAAGCTTTTCTGTTTTTAATAATTATATTTTTGCAAACAAGAGAAAGAATCACAGGCCTTTACAACAGGCCTGCCCGCTAGGTAAATGAAATACAAACTCTAAATGTTACAGATCACCATTGAGGACACGGTTTATGTTTGAGTTAAGAAGCTAATAAACCAGCTATGTTCGACACAATAAGACAAATACTAAAGCACCGCCTACTTTGGTGATAATTATTCTTATCTTTTTTGAACACCTTTTCTTTCTGTCAGATGGAGCCCTCCCTCCCCCCGGTGCAGAAGCTCATGGTTCCTGCTGCAGCGTCGGTGTCAGGAAACCGCTCCGTGTCGTTTAGGACGACTCTGACTCCTGGAGGGGTGAGCCGAACTCTGGACAGGACTCCCAGAGACACGGTCAGAAACTCATGCGTTATTATACACTGTCAACATTTTCTCTATGCAATTCCTCTACATTACATGCAGAAAAATAGAGTACAAAGCAAATAATAAATCTGTTTGTTTTATTTCCTTAGCCCACAAGACAATCACAGAAACTACCTGAAGCAACCCCAGGTCCATCTAAAAGGTAAAACATGTTACTCTAATTAATCAGGCAAGAAGCTTAATGTAGTACACCAGCAAGGCAATATAACCTCATCAAAGCATTCATAGTTATTTTAAACCGATCCCTGTATGTTTATTTGTTTGACTTATTGCTCTCCACCCCTCTTCTAATAGCACAATGGGTTCCAGTGGCCCGGCCTATCCTCTGTCCAGCACGCCTGCAGCCAGCAGCGTGGGCTCTGGGGGGGGGAAGATGAAGCGAGAGAGGATGAGTGCACGACCTTCCTCTAAACGCGTGGATGAGGAAGAGGTAAGGCTTTCCATCAAAACTTTGTATATATTAACTCCCAATTCTAGTTTTCATGCACTTGTAAAAAAAAAGTGGTAAAAAACAGGTAATCATGCTTAAGTGCCATGGCCGTATCACACTTATTTTAAAGCCCGGCCGAGAGGTAATAAACAGATAATGTGCCTTGATGCATTCAGATTGATGTTATCTCATTTCAGCATTGGTCTGAAAAAAGGCTACTCTGAAATGAAACACCCATGCAATTATTTCAAAACTATGTTCATGTTAAATGCTACTACTTATTTTTCTTTTAATATGGACATGTACTTATTATTTAAATATTTGTAATTAACGCGTATAAAATGTGTACTTTCTACTATTTTCGCCTTTTTTTTTTCTGCCCCGCCACGTTTGCAGTACCGTTGTTCCTTTCCCCGCTGTGGGACACATAAAGGACTCTGATTCTGACTCCTCCTTGTTTTGTGACTTTAGATGGCTGAGCTACCGGACCTACCAACCATCGCCCTTCCCATCCACACCATGCCTTCCTTCAGCTTTACCTCCCCACTCCCACCTCCCACAACCACCATCAGTGCGACCCCCAACTTCATGCCAATGACTCCCATTAAGGAGACTGTCACGAATAAGGTTGGTCTTAAAATGGTCTCATTCCACAAAGAAGCTGCTAAATACTGCTAATAGCTAACAACATAATTGATGCACATTTAAAATGTTATTTTTCTTTTTCCAGGAGCTACCAAAGGCCTTGACCCCTCCCTGTGTTCCTTTTACATTTTCCTCCCCCATTGTCAAAGCAACTGCTGGTAGTCCTCCTTCCCTTTCCCCCTCAGTAAGTAAACACTTTCAAAATGATAACTTATGCTGTGTTAACACCGGACGCGATGCGTTTTTTGGGGGCGGCACGATTACATGTAAAGTCAATACAAAGACACGGACAGATGCAAATTCGCTCCGACGGCGTGAATGAAGCGGTTGATGCGAATGCCGCGGCGCGATTGAGACGATTGAAGGGGGGCGCGACAACCAATACAAACATTTCAACTCGAGCGTCAAATTCGCGTGAAGCGTTCTTGCGAAAGCCAATCAGCGGTGAGGATCTCAGCCTGACGTTGAATTAAGAAAACCAAAACATCACCACACAGAGCTCACAGCTCCTCATATCTCTTCATAAACTGGACAAAAGTTAAACAAGTACAAAACAGACTGTCTGTCATGGCGAATACAGTCGCTGGTTTATTTCTGTCTCTAGGACGTGTTGTGAGTTTAGCCTGATCTATCCGATCTCCATTCAGAAAACACGCATTTTAAAAGGTTTTTCGCCTGCCGTCTGTCTGCACACTTGTCACAGCATTAATTCATGGTTTTTACTAACCGTTATCAGTATGTTGTTACTACGGCATCATTTAGAAACGTGTATTACAATTAAATCACGGTAAAATATGTTAATGTTGTTGTTGTTGGTAACTACCATAGTATTTCCATGGAGATAAGCCCCGCCCCCTGGCCAGCGCATCTTGTTTGAATGATGCAAGTTAACACAGCTGACAACCGCGGTAAAATTAGAGCGATGCAAATATTCGCATTGCGTCTGGTGTGAACGCAGCATTATTGATTAGGGAGACAACTATTTACATCATGTAGATAATAATTGTTATTTCCTGTTTGTAGGCTGAATTCACTTTTAGTGCACCTGTAGCAAAGTTGGGTCCCTCCATGTCAAATGGGAACCTGGCCTCTCCCATAGTCGCAGGTAAGACAGTTTTCCTACATTGAGCATAACGATGATTCTTTGCCTTTCCTGAGAAAACTTGAAGTTTGATCTCTGTGTTATGTTTTCTGCAGTGAAGTTAACCCCAAGCAAAAGCACAGAAGACTTTGAAGGACCTTTCAAACCAGCCAAGACCCTGAAGCAGGGCAGCGTGCTGGATCTTCTCAAAGCACCTGGTAAGATCCTATAACTCATTGCACATCTACAGTGTTTGGTTGTGTGTAGAAATGTTATTCACTGCTTAATACTTTACTTTACTCTGTCCAGGCTTTGCTTCTCCTGTTGCTCGGACCTCCCCAACCCCAGACGAAGCTCCCCAGCTGAGCTCAACACAATCAACAGCCCCCTCCTTCTCCTCCTCCTCCACCACCACTACAACCACCTCCTCCCTCACATCAATAGGCTTTGGTGCTGCGTTCAAAGCTCCACCAGGCTGGAGCTGTGATGTCTGCATGGTGCAGAACAAGCCATCGGACACCAAGTGTGTGTGCTGTTGTGCCCCACAGCCCAAATCTATGGACAGTAAACCTTTAACAGCCACCCCGGATGTGGTAGAGAGCAGCGGCTCCTCCACCACATCAACCTCTGCAGGTTTTGGCACCATGTTCTCCAAATCCGCAGGAACCTGGGACTGTGATACGTGTCTAGTTCTAAACAAACCTGATGCAGTCAAATGTGTGGCCTGCGAAACGGCCAAACCTGGGACAGGGCTTAAGCCCTCAACGACTCTTCCTTCTGCCTTCTCAGCTGTAAAGACTGTATCCCTACCCACAGCCCCCGTCTCTACAGCGTTTACTGGATTTGGAGACAAGTTCAAAAAAGCTGAGGGAGCATGGGAATGTGATACATGTATGGTAGAAAACAAGGCAGAGGACACAAAGTGCGTGGCCTGCAGCAGCGCCAAACCAGGTAATATGATCCGGACCGTGGTAATGTTGGTATTTGATGTTCTACAAAATGCTGAATCATTGTTTTTTGTTAAAGTAGAATGCCATTAACTTTCCTTCATGTAAAGGAAATTGTTAGTTTAGTAAAGCATATTTTCCCCCCTTATCCTCACAACAGGAGCCTCTTCTTTAGCCAGCAGTGCTCCATTGATTGGGTTTGGAGATGCGTTCAAGAAGCCAGAGGGTGCCTGGGAATGTGACGTCTGTCTAGTGCAGAACAAGGCTGCTGATGTACAGTGTGTGGCCTGTCAGACAGCCAAACCTGGAGCTATTGTGGAGCCCAAAGGTAACAAAGGCGACCTGCTTTTATTGCAACAACAATTCAAAAGTAAATGAGTGTTACTCACGTTTTCCTATAAGATGATTGATGATGATGATTCAACTTATTGTCGTTACGTAGTACAGGTACTATGTAACGAAAGGAGCAGTGGGCTGCCATTATGTACGGCGCCCGGGGAGCAGTGTAGGGAACAGTGCCTTGCTCAGGGACACCTCGGTAGCACTTGGTCTTTCCGGGACTTGAACTGGTGACCTTCCAGTTGCCAAGCCAAGTCCCTATCGACTTCGCCACCATATATTCGCCAATAATCTTGTGACAACACCGTTGCTACCGATCAAATCAGGCATTTTACAAGGAACATTTATTTATTTGATGACGCTATATATCAGTAGACTGCTTAACGTTCCGGGGCTGACCTCCCGGGCTAGGCTTCTGCTGCGGGGCCGCAGGTTAGTTTTATTTTGTATGTTTTGTTGCTGTGACCTGGTTTGATTCTGATACACGAAAACAAACTAAGTATGTTTTTATTTCTTTTGAGATAAACATACAAAATCTTGTCAACTGTTTTAAGCCTATGAAATATAACTTCATTTTTCAATGTTTTCTATCCTTTGTTTCCATTCAGCTTTTGGTTCGTCTTTCGGTTCGTCAGCTGGTGGGACTTCAGGCACTACTTCTGGAGGATTTAAGTTTGGCACAACAGACAGTACCTTGGGATCCGGAGCCGCAGGTTTCAAGTTTGGAGGCTCATTAACAGAGTCCTCCTCTTCATCGTCAGGTGGATTCAAATTTGGAGTCCCATCAGAAAGTACATATAACGACACTACTGCCTCCTCTGGGTTTAAGTTTGGCAGCTCATCGGAGGGCTTTACATTTGGGGATGCCGCTAGTGATGACAAAAAGTCAGACCCACCTGCCGCAGGTTCTGGGTTTAAGTTCGGAGCCAGCGGTGGGATCCCGTTTGGAACCGGATCCTCTAGCACAGAAAGTAACTCCTCTAAGACCGGCTTCACCTTTGGACTTTCAAAACCCGAAGAGAAAACACCCGACAGCTCCTCATCTTCACAAGAGAAAAGTGAAAGCGCAGCATCATCAAATGACACCGCATCCACAAACTCAACTTCAAGTAAGGGGTCTGTATTTGGGAGATTGGGCGATCGTAGTTCAACGACCCCCACACCACCGGGGGGCTCCACGTTGGGATCTCTACAGGCGGCGGACAAAGAGCCAGCTGCTCCCACCTTTGCCTTTGGGAAGCCAGAGGAAAAGAAGGAAGCTGCCGCGTCCTCGGCTCCATCCGGCTTACTCTTCGGAGCTGCTAGTAAAGATGCCGAGGCTGCTCCAGCACCGGCCGCCACTGGAGGATTCTCCTTCAACAAGACCAGTGCTCCAACAGAACAACCCCCACCCACTTTTAACTTTGGCAAGCCAGCAGACAAGAGTGAAACAACTACTGCAGAGGCCCCGAACCCGTCTTTCACCTTTGGACAGAGTGCTGCAGGTGAGAGAAAGTTCGGAGAGTGATGCTCTCGATAGTATCTTTGAGTTGTTTTGTAGTTTGCTTACCATTTCTGTCCCTACATAAATGCTGAAATGTGGATGACGCAACAACATTATGAATGATATTCTCATCTAAGCAGTCCTTGTGGTCACTTATTACGCATCTGTTAGGAATCGGCCTGACTCTAATGATATGCTTGTTGTCAATTAGCTGAAGCTGGTCAAGGGTTTTAAAATGAGCTGGCTCACTTTCCAATTATTGCCAATTTCTTTCAGCAGAACTATTTAAATATGACTTCATCGTTTTAAAATGTTTACTTGCATCATTTTGAGATTTCGGATATTGGTTAAGATCGAAGCAGAATTTAGATAAACATATACAAATGTGTTTTCCCCTCAAGATAATTTCCTCAAGTCAGAGAAAGCTCCCCAGAGAAGACATTTTACAACCGTGAGAAGTACAGTGATAAATGTCGTAAACTCACTTTGATGTGAAACGGATTATCCCTTTAACCACTGCACTGTAAAGGTATTTATTATATAACATCATAGTTAACCTTTCTCTCCCCTCAATAGATTCTTCTGCTGCTCCAAAACCAGCATTTTCCTTTATGTCTGGTAATCCCATCGTCAACTCCACCACCTCTACATCCACCACCCCGACGCCCACTCTGTTCGGCTCCTCCAGCAGCAGCAGCAGCTCCACTCAGGCTCCCTTCGCAGCTCCTAGCACTTTAATGTTCGGTCAGCCTGCTGCCTCCTCCACCGACGCTCCTCCGGCCAAAGCCTTCCTGTTCGGCCAGAATCAGGACAGCCAGTCGGCGGCACCGTCAGCGGTCAACCTGAACTCCATCTCCTCCTCCGCTCAGCCCTTCCTCTTCGGTGCTCCTGCTGCCGCTGCTCCTCCTCCTCCTGCTGCTGCTGCTGCTCCATCATTCGGCTTCGGAGCAGCTGCGCCCTCTGCTGCCTCTTCTGCAGGTCTGTGTTCGCAGTGGTGTTTTTATTCAGTCACACAATGCGTATTAACAATCTAAAAAGTATAAATAAGGTAGTTAGAGTGATAGTTATTAGGGATGTAACGATATCAAAAACACACGGTACGATAATATCGCGATTAAAAAGTCGTCCACATTTCCAGGTAGAAGCTGGGATGTTTGGGCGTTTACAAAATCCCCTGCTGTGGAAAAAACTCTTGCTTGGTACTGATGTTGCTGGGACAGATAGATATGCTTTGGCCATGGGTGACAGCAGTGGGTCAAACTGTGCATTGTCTCTCCACCACTTCAAAAACAATACAGTTGTTGCCAAGAAGGTGAGGCTTATTGACAGGGCGAGATATAAATATACTGTTGGTACTTGTCAATGTCTCTATGTACATGTAGCCCTGTAAATACTATGTCCTTTTGTGTTATCTGTTGTTTTATGTTCATGTTGTAACCTACTTGCTGCCATGTTGGACAGGTCTCGCTTGAAAAAGAGATCAATGATCTCAATGGGACCACCTGGTTAAATAAAGGTTTTTCTTTTTAAATCGCAGTAGATTTTGTCAGTCTCACGACGGTATTGAGACATTTATTTATCGCGGTATTCGATATATCGTTACATCCCTAATAGTTTAACCATTACACTTGCTCATAGTGGGTTTTTTCAGAAAATAGCATGATGGTGTCTGATCAAATATTTACATTCGATATTGTTATATTTATAAAATGTACATGTATTTATATTTTCAATCCTTTCTCTTCCTCTGACAGTTCCGTCTGCAGCTCCCTCTCCATTTGCGTTCAGCTCGGCCCCCTCTGCTGGATTTGGGGCGAACCAGACCCCTTCATTCGGCTCCACCTTTGGATCTCCCTTCACCGCCGCACCCTCCCAGCCATTTGGAGCCAAACCCAACGCCGCCCCGGTGTTTGGGCAGCAGAACAACTCCACACCCGTCTTTGGGGCCGCTGCTAATTCTGCACCAGGTGGGTGACTGAGATATATTTCTCCTTTAACCTCAGGGGGTCCGTGGTACCTCCTGATTCTTGTGAAAGTAGGATTATCATGAGTTCAGTTATGTAAATGTGCCACTTTGTTTAGGCGGAGGCTTCCAGTTTGGAGGAGCCAGTGCATTTGGAGCCCCAAACAACGCCTCAGGAGGAGGAGTGTTTACTTTTGGAGGAGGGCCTGCCGCTTCCCCGGCCCCCCCTGCCAACCCCTCCATCCCACCCCAGGCCCCTGGAGGCGGATTCAACTTTTCACAACCCCCCGCATTCAATATTGGGTAGGTCTCATCTCCTCAGTTATGAGTATTTAAAAAATAAATAAAAAAGTAGCTTTGACTAGATCTCTTGAAAACATGAGGAACGTTTGTGTTTATAATACACATTGATAATATGGTGTTGATAATCCAGTGCCTCCTAAATCTTTTTCATTTTTTGTAGTTGTCCCTTTTTCTTTCTCCTCTTCCTCTCCTCTCTGAAGCTAATAATAATAATAATAATAATAATGGGAATGTGATTTTTGTCTTCCAGGGCCGCAAAAACCTTCACCGCCTCCTCCCCTGCTGGACAGCCGGCGATCGCTGGGCGTAAGATCAAGACAGCGGTGCGGCGCAGGAAGTAAAGCCCTGCGGACTCGACTTTAAAGAAGACTTGACTTTGACTTGACTGTATCCCCACTGAAGGCTGAACAGAGTCCTGGACGGCCTCAGCTAGACAAACACTGAAAGGACTCGGCATGTGAAGAAGGGCAGAGGCTCGGTGCCGCGTTGTGCTCGGGCTGGACGGCGGGCGGGTGTTTGAGCTGAAGGCTGGGCTCAATATTCAAAAGTTTTCACATTTAGCCCGGAGCTGTTGATATGCGAGACAGATCCCACAGGACTTGAAAACAATGTTGACTGAACAATAAAAGTGATTTAGAAAACAACAATCAACCAGGGACCCCCTGCTCAACACGACGAAACAACAAGACGTCATATCTATATTTTGAACACTGGCAAATGTCTGCTAGACTTTAGGCATGACTTTTTGTAATAAAATCACAAAGGCAAAAACTGCAAATCTAAAGAGTTGCGAGTGTTCACAGAATCTTATTAATTAGTATGGGTGAAGTGCAGAGCTGTAGTGAGAGCTGTGCGGGGAATCTCCAGCGGCCATCCGAAAAACTATTAAGACTGCTCCTCTTACGGGAATCAAAGATGCCGCTGGAGATGTAGCCGCGGCGTGCTGTATGTACAGGGATGAGCGTGTAAACTTTGTGTTGAATGCAGCGTGCTTGTTTTGTTTTTTTCTCCCCTCTCTTATGTACAGACTTTGAGGTGTGTTTGGTTTATTTGTACATGCTGAGGTTTCGTGATGGTGTGCGTATGAGAACTGAACGAGAGTTATCGCCTGGGCCGCTAGCATAGCCGCGCCATGGGCGAGCAAGCAAATGAATGTTAAAAACAAAAACAAGCGGAGGACGGACGGATGGAGGGTGGGAGAGGGGGAAATGTATCCATGCACTGTGGAGGATGACGCCCCTAAGGACTTTGTAAATGCATAGATTCAAAACTCGTTACATGTTTGATTCTTTGGTTCGCTCCACTTCTCTGCTTTTTGTGCCGTCTTGTCTCTCTCCTTCTTCCTCCTTCATCCTTATACTCTCCTTTTACCTCTCTCTGCCTCTTCCTCTCTCTATCTCTTAATTGGCCTTTGAATATTATTATAAAAACCTGTAAATAGTGAAGTTTCTTTTTTAATCTGTGAAGTTGAATTTTTTTTTTTGTGTGTTACCAACTCCGCATTCAACATTTTTGTCTTTAGAATTTATTATGTAAATTCCTATATTCAAAGTTGCCCGAATCCATTTAAAAGGAGCTTAAATGCAAATTGGAGAGCCTTTGACGACTAAAGGTATATTGGCTTTTCTGATCCACTTTTGTTTGGACCAAAACCAGTATTGTACAAAGTATTAAGTATATATTTTTCTATTGCGTGTTTAAATGGACAAGGGTGACTTTGGATGATACGGAAGTCAGTTTAATTTTAAAGCCATGATTATTACTGAATGAGTGATAAAATTAAAACCATGGGTAATTGCCATCAATAAAACTATAAAAATAATTCCTGTTTTCTGTTGATCTTTTCATTCGGGACCCACGGTTTGGGTGGCTGGCTCATACTACTATAACAGGTATGTCTTTTTGGGTAAATAATATACAACCTTATTAAATAGATCATTAACAAAATTCATACATTATCAAAATCAGGAGTATTTTGACCAAATATCAGCTGATTTATCGTTGTCAAATATTGTTAACTGAGAATTATTAAAGATTGTGGCGTGATTTTTATAAATAATTCCTGATTTTTAAAAAACGTGGTTTTGGTTATTGTAAAAAAAAAAAATCCCAATCGTTTTCATTTGCCCTCTTTGTTAATCTGGATAAACTTTTTTTTTTTAAACTTTTTTTTTTTTTTTTTGTATTTTTATATACGATTAGATCTTTGGATTTTTAGACACGGTAACAGATTTATTTCATACAAACCAGTTTTCCGTCTTTAGAAGTCTTAAAAGAAATATGTCCTGGTGATAACATACAGTATGTATATCAAAGGCACATTTTCTTTTTTGAAAGTAAGCTGCTAGTGTATGTTACTATGTTTTATAGGTTTAATGCTTTAAAAATATATTAGCATTTTTTTGTGTAAATATAAACAGTAGTGTATCCATAGAAACGCATTCCGAATGTTTGCTTACTTTTGAATCGGAATTCCCTTCACCTCCATATCCTGACCTGAGAGCACGAGTTCAGCAGCTGACCTTGTTCAGTCCAATGTTTACTTTTACATTTTGAAGAAACACAATGTGGTAAGTACATCTGTTAGTTTTAAAATACTGTATTGGTGTCATGTAGTATCTTAGCATCAAGTAAAACCCTGTAAACATTTGGGAGAAAAAAATCAAGATGTAAGCTTTTTGTCACACTGTTAGGCACCATCGTGCACTGGAGGACCAGATGAGGTCAGAGGTCCGCTTGTCTCTGCCTGTCCTCTCCTCCAACAGAAATCTGGTTAGCCACAGACCTCAGCTTCAGAGAAACAGACTGCTGAAGCTCGGCGAGGAAACCATCTGTTCCCTGGGAGACGATATCTCACGGGTAATGAACATTTCCTGATCCTCCTGCCATATTTGAATGTTAATTATCTCATGTATCAGCAGAAAAAGTCATTGAATCCTTAACAAAGTGAGAAGTAGTATACCTTTCAATGAGTAAGATAAGAAATATGGCATGTTTGTGATATATCAGTGTATTAAAATGTGTAATCATATAACTTTGTTCTCGGATTAGATTCAAATTATGAACGTAGACATATCATTGGAATTGCTTTGAATGCTGCGAGCCTCACAATACTTCAGAAATGGTTGGATGAAGATCCGCCTGACATTGGATTATGATTTGAAAACCTGATGTCCATTTGAGCGGGTATCACACGTGCTAAGAGGAACCCTGGAGGAGTTTGTTAGGAACTATTCCCTAATTGCACCCTCTTATTTTTTGTAGATCCCATCTGCCACTCGTAGCACAATGAGGCATCTCAGCTCTCGACACACAGAGGTCAGCCAGTGGAGGTCCCAGATATCTGAAAGCATCGCGAGAGTGGATCGAGAAATCACTGCTGTGGAGCAGGTACACACACTAATGACTTTTTATATATATTGCAAAACAAGGAAAGTGAGTTTAAGAGTAATCCCTCTATCTCAATCATTGACTACAGTTTCCGCTTTGAGTTAAAGGTCACCTATCATGCAAAATTCACTTTTTGATGTCTGTTATACATAAACATGTGTCCCCTCTGTGTAAAGAGATTCTGAAAGTTTCAGAAAAAAAGATTCTCTCACTTTTTGTCCTGACTCATTTATATAAAAACCTGTCTGAAAATGAGCTGATCAGATTTTGGCCACTTTGTGATGTCATAACGATTTATTGGCTTGTGTAACCATTAGCCAATAACCAACCAAGGTATCCCCCCCACCACCTTATCACCTGAATCTCCTCCTAGAGCACCATTGTGTTCTTTTTAACCAAATATCTCAGAGGGGCGTGGCTCCTTATTTTCATCTGAAGTAAAAGACACAGAATCAGCACTTTTGAAACAGGGCTGAAACAGAGGGGATTATGGGATGCTACAATGCATGATCTGTTTGGTATTTGGAGGCAAACACTTCAGAGACATGTTTTATATAAATCTGAGACCTATAATATATTGATGAAAAACAGTATAATAGGAGAGCTTTAAATGATCATTACTTTCATGTGTCCAGATGAAAGACTTGGCTGAGGGCGTTCTCCAGGAGAAGCAGGTGTACAGTCAGCTCATGAGGGACTGCGTGTCCATCAGCAACAGTCTGGGCTCAGTGGGCCAGAGACAGGACCGCGTCCTCTCCGAGCTGAAGAACGAGGAGCAGCTGACCGGTGAGTTTAGAGAAACGCTCCAGAGACAGATCTGCTTCCTCCTGGAGAAGCGGGGCTCTCTGAAGGGGATCCGCGCTCAGCTGCTGGCAGATTTTCGGGACAAGGGTGAAGCCATCAAGCTCACCACCAAATGCATTGTCCCTGACGTCAACGCCCTGAGATCAAGTTTCCCTGCCACCCATTACAAACCAAACTACGTGAGCTATGACAATTGGCTGTCCCACTGCAGGGAGCTGAGGCAGGCGGCTGATAACCTGATCAACGACTCGTCTTCCTTCAGGGGAAACCTGCGCTTCACACTGGCCAATGTAAGAAAAAAACTGACCTCAAGACTTTAGACAGACCTGAATACAGCAGTTTAGGGCTTAATATGAACTCTCTCTTAAAGATTTGTTCAAAGTTGCTTTCAATACACCATGAGCTTTTTTTTATAAAATCTTCAATGTTTACGTTCAAGTTTTGTTTTTTTTTGCCCTCAAGGAAGTCAATTCAATGTTTTGCTCTTCATCTTGCATTTTTATGTCTTAAAACATTGTTTATATTTGAATCTTGAAGCTCAAAAATACCCAAGAGCGCCAGCGCCGCTGCACAGTTGATACTCAGAGAAAGAAGATCAACGACCTGACCAGGGCCCAGGATACTCTGATCTGGGAGAGGCAGCAGGTCAGTCTACTTACTTTATTTTCCATCCACAGAATAAATGTACTTGGCTTTTTGTAATGCTCACTCACTCTTGTGTGGCTTTCTGTTATCTCCAGATAAGAGATGAGATTTCTGATCTGACTACGGACTGTCACAAAGTAGCCTGTCAGATCCAGAATTGTGACTCAAAGCTGCACCGGGCCACACACTGCCTGGACATCCTGCACCAGAGACCCAGACGTGAGCTCTGCCTGGACCAGGTAAGTGTTACAGATTGCATTCAGAAGCAAAGAAAGCCTTAAATATCTTATATATACTTTGGCTTTAACCCTTTCTCTCTGTTCCAGCCCCTATTCAGCCTCACACTGGAGAAACGTGACCTTGAAAGTTTGGCAGCTGGACTTTGTCCAATCATGAGGCGCTCTCAGTAAGTCCTTCCATTCACTAAAGTCACAATTTCACTTCTAATATTATACCCAGCTTTCTCTGTTGCCTGTCCTATATTTAAATATTTCTTCATACTTCTTTCTAATATCCTGAATGCACTAATATTCATTTATTTTTTAGGAGGGACCTGGAGGTTGCACACAGCCATCTGATGATTCTGGAGTACAAACTGGCCAAAAATGTTAGCCACATGGAGGTGGAGCAGAGATGCCAGAAACTGCACCAGAGTTTCCTCCCTGCGCTCGACACCTCTGTGATCCTGACCAACAAGCCCAGGTTCAGCCCGGACAGCTCCAGCCTGCTCTCCTACCTCCAGTAGAGCCTGCATCTGCACCTCTGTGGTCTTTTTACCATGTGGTGTTACAAAAATAAATAAAAACATAAGCGGTATTACTTTGACTTGTTTAGAATCAATATGTGCGTCACCTTGAGGCCCCAATGATTTCAGGTGATATTGTGCTTTTGGTGCATTTTCCAAAACAAGAAGACAGTGGATTTAGTGCAGAAACCAAATTATGTAAAGCTTTTTTTAGGAGAAGGATGCAAGAAAGGGCATCATGGTTATTTACATAGGACTTTTTTAATCAAATAACATAAAACCAGGGCAGTTCCAGTAGCTTTTGACTCAATGTATTAATATTTTTAAACCTTTTAGTAAATGGCTCAAATAAAGAAATGATTCAGTATCTCACCAGCCCACTTCATGCTCAGATGGAAATTAAAAAAGGACAAATTAAAATGATAACCAACAAAATGTAGATGTTCAGGGTTTTTTAAAAATGTGACTTTATTTGCTTTTAAATTACAGAAATGTCACATACAATAGAGACAAATCATAAACAAATGTGGATCGCTCTATCTCCACAAAACCTTTTTATTTACAAAAATGACATAACCAGTGGTTAGTTCTCTTATCTTGCTGTTGACATGTTCACATGTACTAACTCTAATGTAACTGTTCTATATTCTATTTGCAATTGTAAGACCTCTCTCATTGTACCTGACTCTCTTCATAAGGGCCCTCTTATGCTGCCAACAAGACTCAGCAGATTTCTGTGTTCACACATTATGCTGTCATATAATCAAAGTACAGTAGCCTACTAGACACAACCTGCTGCATATCATAGACCAGAATTAAACATTTTGGCGGAGTTTGGACAAAGATGACAGGTGTTGCCTTTGACTCAGTTTGATTAAAATGTAATATTTCTAAAATCCTGGATACAGCCCTGGTGGCTGACATTGACCTGTGAGGAGTCTTGAAGCCACCACAGTAATACATTTGATAAATAGGATCAGCAGTATCAGATGTGTGAAGGCGGTGTTTAGTGGTGACACCCTGACACCCACAGCTTCTCCTGGGTGTCACCTCTTTAACCGGGTCAGATTTAATTTTATTGTAGCAACGGGCCTTAGCAACGAGCCGGCTTCCATGGAGACAGTGTGTATGAAGGAATGCGAGGCTACACGGGTCAATACACAGAGAGAAAAGACACCGAAGTGTCATTAAAATAGTTATTACTTTTATGGACTTATTTGTATCTCTGTTTTGAGGTGATTATGGGATGTTGCAGCTCCACAAAAACGGCAGTGCGACCGTTGAGACCGGAAGTAGCGAACGGAGACAAGGTAGGCTGCGTCCCACTAACCGACGCTTTCCATGCATTTTTAGTTGGTCAACGTTAGTTAAAACTGCGGAGAGGAGTTTAAAAAAGTGTAAAGTCTTAAACTGTATCCGAAAAAGTCAGCTAAAGTTCATATGTTTTATCAGACATTGTTAAGAGGTGTTAGAGGACAAAGGAAATCTCGGAAATCTGTGTGGCGTTTAATTTAGTGACCAAATATTGTCAATTGGTAATCATGGTAGGCTACTGACCGGATTGGTTAATCTCTACTACCAGTGGTGTAAACAAGTAACTAAGTAGATTTACTCAAACTGTAGCCTACTATAATTTTGAGGTTTTACCTATACTTCAGAGGTAAATCGTTTACTTTTACTCCAAAACATTAATTTAATACGTTTTGTTTATTTGCAGATCTGGATTAATGATACAAAATATATCATAGTCAATCCTTAAATAAGACTTTAGTGAGACCTGGAGTAAAATCACCTTTACCAGCTCTGATAAACACCTTAATGCATCAATAATTATAACCAAACATATTAGTCATTATTCTGAAATGGGCCAATCTGCATAACTTGGTGCTTAAATATATTTCACCTGAGGCTCCTGTCCAAAATTAAACCGGTGTTATCCTTTTTAGACTTTGAGCGTGTAATTCATGCCTTAGTTTCTATGCACTTTATGCCGGCCTAAACAAGACCTCGCTGGCACGCCTGCAGCTGGTACAAAACACTGCGGCTCGGCTGCTTACAGGAACACGCGAGCATGAGCACATCACACCAATTCTGGCTTCCCTCCACTGGCTTCCTGTCCATTTTAGAGTTCATTTTAAGATTGTATTGCTTAATGGGCTGGCCCCTCAGTACATCTCCGACCTCCTAAAGGTGTACACCCCCCTCAAGGGCTTTGAGGTCGGCTGATCAGCTGCTGCTAGTAGTCCCTGACCTAAAACAAAGACAAAGACCAGTGGAGACCAAGCCTTCTCAGCAGTAGCCCCCATGGCTCTGGAACGACCTGCCCCCCCATGTCAAATTGTCCCCCACCCTCCAAACTTTTAAGTCCCGATTTGTATGATTTTATTGTCTGTCCATAGCCTTTGTGTACCTTGTATTAATTTTTATGTGTGCCTTTTATCTTTTCTTATGTATGCCTTTTATCTATTCTTATGTGTGCCTTGTAATATTTTATTATAATGTTATGTTTGCTGTGAAGCACTTTGGTAAACCCTCTGTATTTAATATGTGCTATAGAAATAAAGTGGATTGGATTAGATGCCATTACTTATCTATAGGTAGAGATAACATTTTTATTGCAGGACTTCAAATTGTAACAGATCTTTTTCCCCATCTGGTACTTCTACTACTGTGGAAAGAATACTCTTACTCTACTTAAACTAGCAATACCACGGTGTAAAAATGCTATGTTACAATTTAAAAAGTCCTCTATTTAAAAGATGTCAATGTGTTGGCTTGTAAAGTACGAAAGTCTCTGCTCAATTTGACTCACTCGCCAGCCTAAAAATTACAATGTATTGAGTTCCTGGTAACATTTTAACAATTATGTTCCCTTAAAAAGCAAAATACTTAAAGATTAAAAACGTAGCTTGTTATTCAGCCAATTTAAATGTTCATAAATGTCATTATATATTATATTGGTTATTTACTACATATAGCGTTGTTAAAGTCACAGAATACACTGTTACTGTGAACTCATTTTAACTCTAATGCTCCTGAGCTACTGTGTTCATGACAATGTGTCAACACACACACATACGCCACCATGACAACATCATGTCTGTGGGGGGGAGGGGTATAAAAAATGTATTCATGGGTTGATACTGCGTGTCTGTGCTGTCAGGATGTGACCAGAAGTAAAGTGGATGTTCGTGGGGACTCGGCCGTGTCGAAGGGCACGACGGACAGCGGGGTGGTGATGGAGAACAACAGAGACATCCCTCTGTTACCTGGAGCCGTGCCCAGAAAACTCCCTCCTCTAACATCTCAGTGTGTCAGAGAAAGCGTTGTGGACGTAATAACACAACATGGTGCGTCAGCTGAATAAAACACACTGGGTCACGTCAAAAAGAGAATTCAGGGCATACAACATTACAGTTTTGTGTTTTGTCGTCTCCCAGTCTTACTGCAGCAGGAGCGCACAATGTCCAGTGAGATCCTGAAGGAGCTGCTGCACCAAGGCATCATACCGGAGGGAGGCCAGAGCGGAGAGAGGGGCAGCCGGGCGGGGGAGGCCTACAGCATCATGGTGGGTTCCTGCTAACACTGCTCAAACAGGCTATTACACATCACTGAGAGGCAGTGGTACATGTACTAAAACCACACTGTGCTCTTATAAGTATTAGTCCTGCTTTTAAAGCATTACTTAATTAAAAGTACATTAATAATTTGGGCACAATGTTCTCAAAGTACACTGAACGAAAATATAAATGCAACACTTTTGTTTTTGCTCCCATTTTTCATGAGATGAACTCAAAGATCTAAAACATTTTCTATATACACAAAATAACCATTTCTCTCAAATATTGTTCACAAATCTGAAAAAATCTGTGATAGTGAGCACTTCTCCTTTGCCGAGATAATCCATCCCACCTCACAGGTGTGGCATATCAAGATTCTGATTAGACAGCATGATTATTGCACAGGTGTGCCTTAGGCTGGCCACAATAAAAGGCCACTCTGAAAATGTTCAGTTTTATCACACAGCACAATGCCACAGATGTCGCAAGTTTTGAGGGAGCGGGCAATTGGCATGCTGACAGCAGGAATGTCCACCAGAGCTGTTGCCCGTGAATTGAATGTTCATTTCTCTACCATAAGCCGTCTCCAAAGGCGTTTCAGAGAATTTGGCAGTACATCCAACCAGCCTCACAACCGCAGACCACGTGTAACCACACCAGCCCAGGACCTCCACATCCAGCATGTTCACCTCCAAGATCGTCTGAGACCAGCCACTCGGACAACTGCTGCAACAATCGGTTTGCATAACCAAAGAATTTCTGCACAAACTGTCAGAAACCGTCTCAGGGAAGCTCATCTGCATGCTCGTCGTCCTCATCGGGGTCTCGACCTGACTCCGGTTCGTCGTCGTAACCGACTTGAGTGGGCAAATGCTCACATTCGATGGCGTCTGGCACGTTGGAGAGGTGTTCTCTTCACGGAGGAATCCCGGTTTTCACTGTTCAGGGCAGATGGCAGACAGCGTGTGTGGCGTCGTGTGGGTGAGCGGTTTTCTGATGTCAATGTTGGGAATCGAGTGGCCCATGGTGGTGGTGGGGTTATGGTATGGGCAGGCGTATGTTATGGACGACGAACACAGGTGCATTTTATTGATGGCATTGTGAATGCACAGAGATACCGTGACGAGATCCTGAGGCCCATTGTTGTGCCATTCATCCACGACCATCACCTCATGTTGCAGCATGATAATGCACGGCCCCATGTTGCAAGGATCTGTACACATTACATTACATTACATTGCATTTAGCTGACGCTTTTATCCAAAGCGACTTACAATAAGTGCGTTCGACCAACAAAATACAAACTTGAAGAAAACAGAATCATATAAGTACATCAGGTTTCATAGAGCAAAAACATTTCAAGTGTTACTCAACTGGCTTTAGGTAAGCCAGTCCTTTATTAGTATATAAGTGCTCTGTTAATAGTTCTATCGCTCGAAGTGGAGTCGAAAGAGATGAGTTTTCAGTCTGCGCCGGAAGGTGTGTACTGTAAGCTATCTGCTGTCCTGATGTCAATGGGGAGCTCATTCCACCATTTTGGAGCCAGGATAGCAAACCCACAGCGTGTTCCAGTTCCTGCCAATATCCAGCAACTTCGCACATTGAAGAGGAGTGGACCAACATTCCACAGGCCACAATCAACAACCTGATCAACTCAATGCGAAGGAGATGTGTTGCACTGCGTGAGGCAAATGGTGGTCACACCAGATACTGACTGGTTTTCGGACCCCCCCAGACCCCCCCAATAAGGCAATACTGCACGTTTCAGAGTGGCCTTTTATTGTGGCCAGCCTAAGGCACACCTGTGCAATAATCATGCTGTCTAATCAGCATCTTGATATGCCACACCTGTGAGGTGGGATGGATTATCTCGGCAAAGGAGAAGTGCTCACTATCACAGATTTGTTCAGATTTGTGAACAATATTTGAGAGAAATGGTTATTTTGTGTATATAGAAAATGTTTTAGATCTTTGAGTTCATCTCATGAAAAATGGGAGCAAAAACAAAAGTGTTGCATTTATATTTTTGTTCAGTGTATTTATTCAGCAGTAACATGTTCCTTGTCAGTGTTTTACTAATATAAATAGAAAAGCCCATAATATATAGTGTATATGGTAGCTCTCTTTCAATACATGCATTTTGACTTGTCAAAGCAGCAAAGGCCTTGCTGTTACTAATATAACAATAATCCTAGGGAGGTGCACAAGGTCAGTCAGTTTTCGTGGATATTCATTCAGTTTCTTTATTGTGATTGTCTGCTCTCTGTGTCCATCTCCTGGGTGTGCTTGTGTATACCAGCTTGAGCTTGAGGACAGGGAAGGGGTCATGCGGAGGCCACCTGCCAGACTGGAGTCTCTGAGGGCCAATAAGGCGCAACACCTCCCCAGCATAGAAGAGATTGAGGAGAAAATAAGACTTGCTGAGGAAAGACGCAAGGTAGTGTGGTGTGTGTGTGTGTGTGTGTGTGTGTGTGTGTGTGTGTGTGTGTGTGTGTGTGTGTGTGTGTGTGTGTGTGTGTGTGTGTGTGTGTGTGTGTGTGGTGTGTGTGGTGTGTGTGTGTGTGTGGTGTGTGTGTGTGTGTGTGTGTGTGTGTGTGTGTGTGTGTGTGTGTGTGTGTGTACCTGACCACCTCATCTTTAGCTCTCTCTGATAAATGGAGAGCTTATCCTACTGTTTTGTCTCCCACACACTAATCTACTTCCTCTTTCTCTCAGTTAAGAGAAGACGAGCTCAAGACTCGTTTGAGGTCCAAGTCGGCCCGTGTCCGGGGTCCTGCTCACACCTTCATCACAGAGGATGAAGAGGACGCAGCACTCACCCCTGTGGAGCCGCTACACCCATCTCTCACCCCTGAACTTCTCACTCCACAGCCTCACAGCCAGATCACACGAGAGGCGGCCGAGGGTGGAGAGTGGGCGAGAGAGGATGCAGGTGACGGCAGAGAAGAAATAAGTAGAGCAGACAAGAAAGAGGGGAAGAGAGAGAAGGGGGGAGAGAGGGGAAATAACCGAGGGGTCAGTGGTGATGGGGAGGAGGAGGAGTGTACCCAGGTGGAGGAGCTGAAGAAGGATCAGCTCCTCCTCACAGCCCCGGGGGAGCTGGAGAGCGATTCTAGCTTTCAACAAGTAGATGACAAAGACGAGATATTTTAATTTATCACAAAAAATGAGCACTGAGAGAGATAAAAGACAGAGGAGAGGAAGCCAAACATAATTCCTTTTGCATAGCCGAAAGGTTGTAATGAAAAAAATATATAGGGTATATATTGTATTAGAAGAAGTTCATATGTGATTAAGCTGGATAGGCTCTATTGACGAGCTAATGTAAAAGCAGAAATTACGTTGGACCAAAACATGCACAAAGAATTATAAGGGTTTATAATTTACCTCAGTGAAGGCTTTAGTAAATATGACCAAAACGTCTTGCCAACATACAGCATTTATTCAAAGGATATTTTAGTTTTACATTTCGTTGTAAAGTATCATATTGTTAAGTCTAATTTTTCATGTGAAGGGTGTACTTGTTCTGTTGGACACAGGAGGGCGCTGTTTCAGTTGAAGTTGTCTCACAGCTGCCTGGAGTCAGTTTGCAGCTTATCAATAACATAGGTTTGACCACATGTGAAGTCAAATAGGTAAAGGGAATGTTTTATTAATTAATAAATATGTCTATATAATAGAAATGTTCCTACTATGTGTTGTTTATGAATATTTAAATCCCTAAAACTTTATGATTATTCTTTTCTGAGAGGATGAGGGGTGTGCATAGTTTAATCAAAACATTAAAATAATATGAAATATAATACAAAATAATTTGAGTAAAATGTGGTATACAAGTACAAGTATTCTCCTGTACGACCTTTGTCCGAGCTGTAGAAACCCTATTCAGCTGTTTAAGTGACCTTTGACCTTATGCTTTACTCTGCCTCACAGGTGGTAGCTGCAGCCAAATGGATAACAAGCATTAAGTTACAATTTCAGCAGCCTTTCTCTTGATAATTTAAAAACAGATAGTTATCTAAGTATTTAGGTCAGGGTATACTTCAAAATCAGCCCACTTCCTGATGAGTTTATGGCCAATACACATGTAGAACAATCGTACATATGGGGTCTGTAATCTAGGTGGCGCTGTTGAGCTATTTTGACACGCCCACGCGCAAGACCAGTAGTTCACGTACATTTTACAGTTTGAATTTTGTACCAATAAATACTGCATTTGTGAATATATTTAGGCCTTCGAAACTGAAAGTGGTTTCTGAATGATAATATTATTATAGAAAAAAACAATTCCATGCCATTTCAATAGGGTCCGGTCCTTCAATCAGACTTTCTTGTTGCTCGGGCTGTTATTGTGAAGGTATAGGAGGATTCCGACTAGTCAGCATGCTGCACATGAACAGAAAACAACAATTGGACGCAACCTGACCGGATCCCCATTGTTAAGCCTGGGAAACTCGACACTGGTCTCCCGGTCCCCCTTTTATCACGACTCCACTCGGACTTTAAAGCGCGTGTGCCTGCATGAATAAAATAGTGGATGAACAGAGACACCGCAGAAAGAACATCTATCAGGTTGCGTTCCTTTGTGAAGTGGACTACCTGTCCTGTGATGTCCACTTTGTGACAGTCAAACTTTTTTTCTTTAAAGGTGGGGTAGGCTATAGGTAATTCACTTCAGAAACACTTTTTGTTATATTCCATGGAATGCATGCTCTTAACATCCCGATAGCAATGAATACATTAAATGCTTTGACAATAAATACATACAAACAAACATTTCATCTGTGGAAGCCGCAGCGCTCTAAAAAGCACGACCAATCATTTTAGCCGGCCCGGCTAAAGTAACTGGATGGCCTACCTGCCTGTCAGCCTTCCATCTGTGCACACACTTATCTCGTGCCCTCATTGGCCATGTAAACGTTCGTGTTTGTTGGAGGAGGGGCTCTGTAAACTGGTTTCTCCTAAATTACCTACCCCACCTTTAAGAACAAATATATAATTGAAGTGTGTATTATAATCACACGTATGGCCTTATTAAAGCATGTATTTACAAACTAACACACATACCCATCAGTCTCTGACATTTTTAATTGGCTTGAGTTATGTGACTTTTTTAAAAATAGTACAGGATTGAACACGTTTTTTTTAAACAAGAACATTGATAACACTCAACAATGTTCCCAAATGTGTCAACTCACAGTGTTACATGTAGGCAGGATATATGCTGCTCACAGAAGCGGAGCCGCCATGAATGATTTACAGACAGCAGGCTTCCCTCTCACATTACTGGGGCTGAATTAACCAAAGCTCCATCCAGCAGCCAGCCGAGGCCATGCTGCCACAAGTTATGTTAATTATTGATGTTCAGAGACTTTTGAATAGATCTCTGACTTGATCCTTTACCATTGTGATACAGTTGTGCATAATCATATGACGCACGATGCATCTGTCAGTTTGGAAGACAGGTCTCACTTGATTAAACTATTAAATTGGGATCACCTTGTTTAAAAAAAAAAAGATGATATAAGGCTTAATTCAGCACAACGGTTTCATTACCCAAAATATATATTGATAGGGACCTCATTTGTTAGATCTTTGTTTTAAGTTATAACTTAAAACAAAGATCTAACAAATGAGGTCCCTATCATATAAATATGATATGGATTGGACATTCAAACCTGTTGATGGGTTAGGCTCATTACTTTATGACCAAACCGTTAAGGAACAATTAAAAACAACACTTGAGAGAAGTTTGATATCACTTTTCAAACTCAGGTTACACTTTTCACAATCTATGCCTTATTTCTGTCTGCATTGGCACATAAACTTGGCAAAACTCTGTCCACCCCCCACAAGTGCTTAAACTGCACCTGTCTGTCTGCTTTGGCTGCTGTGATGTGTCTGTCCCTGAGCTGTGTCAAGACCCTAATCAGCTGTTTTTTCAGGGGGGCTAATCCATGCAAGTCTAATGAAAATCAAGACAGAACTTTTCTAAGGAATAGTGCAAGTCTGGTTTTACCCCGTAACCCAAATCAACAAATATTGACAGTGTAAGGATGTGCAAATCACACAAATAATCCCTTTTTTAAACAATGAGTTATTTTTTAAGCCCCTGCTACTCTTTGTCCCCAACATATGATCAGTGGAATCAGGTTTTGTTTGCCCCTGATGGTTAATTAAACGTGATTCTAGTAGGAGGATCTCTTTTTTTGTGAAGGAGCTCCAGTGTTTCACGCTGTGCAGGTTTCCAGCTGTTTGCGCGCTTGTGGGCGGGCAGAGATGGACAGAGAGCTGGGTGGAGTTAGCAACAGCGCTTTTAGGAATGGGTCCCAAACCTATTTAGTTAGACAGCAGAGTTACCAAGAAGAGCTGGAAACACCTGATGGTCTCTGTGGGACAATCCGCTCCATATAACTCTCCTCTTAACTGTCGGAAGATACATCTACCTCTAGGCTTAATTGTTGTTGTGTTTTCTCTTCTGAAAAAAGTAACAGAGCCAGCTGTTCTCTCTTTTCTCTCTCTTCATCCAAACTGATAAGGAGACATTGCACTTTTCTTTTTTTATATTGCTAATATTTATTGTATTTGCACTAACGATGCACTCCACGCAAAAGGACACGACCTACACAAAGATTTTTGTCGGGGGTCTACCCTACCACACCACGGATACAAGTCTCAGGAAATATTTTGAGGTGTTTGGTGAGATTGAAGAAGCGGTGGTCATAACGGACCGGCAGACCGGCAAGTCCAGGGGATATGGATTCGTAAGTATCACTCTTTTTAATAACAAGTATATCGCTTTTTAAACTCAACTGAACACAACACAAGTTTTACGCATGTGGGAAAAGTCCTGACTTTACGCGTCTTAAGCGCGCGGCAGTCTCTGTCTGTCACAACATCATGATTAACATTATCTTATCTGCAGTCATGGGGTGTTTATGTTGTGATAACAGTGCCTAAAGTCGTCAGTTGCAATCTTGCACCACCGACTTGTTGCGCGTTGGTATGCGCCCTGGCACGTTTTTAAAGTGAACTGCTCCCACACTGACAGCTCTGGTGGCCTGAGGAAAAATCTCATGATGATGTTTTTAAGTTTTCTGACCCCGTGACACTGTTTCATTATCTCAAATCTGTTTAAAACTAAAATATTTGACTCCCCCTTGTCATAAAAACCGATAGACAAAACACATTAAGACGCAATGTTAAATTGCTAACTCAGACAGTGTTTCAAAATACCTATTTTAGTTCATTCATGTATACATTTATGTTTAACAGATGCTAAAACATATATGTTAAAGGCTGCCAGGAGGTACCCTAACTTATTTGGCCTCTTTAAAGACTATAAAGTAATCTATTTGAAGTTTGGCTCATATTCAAGAGGATGTACCAAGTTGCACAGTCACCCTTGATATGCACACATATCTATTGTATGAAGAAACTAACCTTACTATCTTCAACTGAGATGTATTATCTCCAACTTTCCCCACATTTCCTCTTTATTGTTGTAGCATTACCATATTTATACCGTATTAGCCGAGCAGCTTTCAAAAACAGTGCTTTACAATGAAAACATGATACACAGATGCCGGCTATTGGGGCTGTGAGCAGAGCAATAGAGTCTGTAATGAGAGCAGTAAGGGAGCCATGTTCAGTCACTCCACCATCCTGGCTCCTTTACACTGTTGATAGTTTTAACACATACATATGAAGTACAGGGAAGTGTGTGCTGCCAAATACTTGCTACTGTTAATAATGACCAGAGAAATACACAGAAAGGCATACACACACAAAGAGATGTTGTCCTCCTATGAAGTTATAGCTTTTGCTCAATCAGTAGGAAAATGAAGCAAATTACACACAGCTTTGAATTCTCCTCATCTTTCTCATGCTCTGTGTTTTTGACTGCTCCGTCAGGTGACGATGGCGGACCGCTCGGCTGCAGACCGGGCCTGTAAGGACCCCAACCCCATCATTGACGGCAGGAAGGCCAACGTCAACCTGGCCTACCTGGGGGCCAAGCCTCGGGTGATGCAGCAAGGTAAGGACAGACAAATGAGGAGCAATAAAACACACAAGAAACATCCTCAAAAGCCGCAGGAATGGGGTGTCTTTCTTCAAAAATGTGCAGTCAGACGTGCAGATGTAGTCTCTAAATATCATATATTCCCGCTCAGTAAATCCAACATTTAATCAGCATGTCTTTGTTGAACATATATTTTATTAGGCATCAGACGTTGGTTTTACTGGCAAAAATCAAGTCAGTCCTTTTTGAGTTCCTCCTCAGGGTTGTTTGTTTTTAAGGTGCTTGCAATCAATGTTAGAACATGTTGTGACAATGTTTTTTAAACCAATTATTCAAGAGATTAATGCTGTCGTCTTTACTTTTTTGCAGGTTTTACCTTTGGTGTTCCCCAAATTCACCCTGCGTTCATCCAAAGGCCTTATGGGTAAGTACTGAGACTATTTGAGAGGGTTGTACACATTGAATATTTAGGTACTAAATGATTCAAACATGTTTTAATTTGACATTTTCTCAGTTTAATGTGTGATGATTGTTACTATCAGTCTGTTTTTTATACTTTTATCTTTTTCCCCCCAAATATTTAACAGCTGATAATTTTAGGTGGACAAGATGTTGAACCTTTGTCACTGTCCACTAAACAGCCAGTCAAACTGCCTTTTCTAGGTTAGCCTGTTGAACGTGTGTGTGTGGTGTGTGTGTGTGTGTGTGTGTGTGTGTGTGTGTGTGTGTGTGTGTGTGTGTGTGTGTGTGTACATGTGCATGTGTGCCTGTGTGTGAGAGAGCTGATATGATATCATCCCATTGGCCTCCTGTGTGTGTGTGTGTGTGTGTGTGTGTGTGTGTGTGTGTGTGTGTGTGTGTGTGTGTGTGTGTGTGTGTGTGTGTGTGTGTGTGTGTGTGTGTGTGTGTGTGTGTGTGTGTGTGGTGTGTGTGTGTGTGTGTGTGTGTGTGTGTGTGCTGAGTGGACAATGATGGAAGCTTCCAGCCTGACTCAATGTTATCTATCTTTCTCTGGTCCGACAGGCTCACTCTCGGTTAAGCTAACTGTGCTGGTTTGTGGAATAGTTCTGCAATAATCACAGATCAGAGAAAGGAATTACCTCTAGACTCAAACACACAAAAAAGCTCTCAAAATGGTGATTATAGATGCATGTATGTGGGTTTTGACCTGATTTTTTTATTTTATTTGAATAGAACTTAGAGCTTTGTGTGCGGTTATGAAGTGGTGTTGTTAGCTAAACCGTGTGCTTTCTCACTTTAATGAAAAAAAAAAGGAGCTGGATTGATTTTGGGGTGATCTTTTTTCTTGTTTTGTGGAAGCGTGTTATCTTTGCCAAGGATGAGATTTTTGTTTTGCTTTTAGCTTGTGGTTGACCTGTTTTGTTTAACTGGATGTTTAATGTGTTCTTCTGGCTGTCTTGTTGGAGTGAGTGGTGCATTTTTCTGTGTGTTTTTTATTGCTCTCCCTAAACACTCCCATACCTCACATATTTTCCCCCAAAATAACCAAACCCATCACTGCTTGTGTGTGACTTTAGCATCTTCCTGGTGTTACTAGCAGTTTCTCACATTAACACAACGTAGCAGCAGCAACAAGTCCCCTATGAAACTGTCTCCTTCTTATTACCGCTGGTCAATTCATTACAACTCTTTTGTTTTCCTTCCTGTCTCTGTATCTCTTTGTCTTTTCTATTCTCTACACCACACATACAAGACTTGTGGTAACGTAGCACCATCAGAAATGTGGATGTCTTGGGAATGAAAACAGTTATTATGTGAGCTCTTGTCATAGCAATATGTGTATTTATGTGTGTACATGTGTGGTTGCATTGGAGTATGTGCTCTTATTGTGTTTGTACGAGTGTGTGTCTTTGTCCGTCCACATAGTCCCAAAGTCTCTAGTGTGACACAAACAAATCTCTCTCGCTCCCTCATTCTATCGGAGCGAGCTTTCGTCACATGGGCTCGTGGTGTTAAGGAAAACAAGCGCACCCATTGTGTCACACAAAGCCCTGAATGCTGACGCTGCAGTCGCATGAAGCTCTGTCTGTGTGTGTGTTGGGGGGGTCTGGTTAGGGACCATCTCTCTCTGTCATTTAATAGCAATGCAGGGGGCCACTCAAATAGGGCCAGGTCGGGTGTTTTTGGGGACACATTATTGTGCTTAATTTTCCATATGCACATATAATCAGATTGAACCAGAAGCCTCTGTCTCTCTGTCACAATAGGCGCATAGTGCAAACGCTCTGAACACATGTAAGGAAGTTATTTGCTGAAAAAAAGTATTGACTTGGTTCAAAATAAGAATGCAAATCAATATGTAAGGTCACATTGTAGAGACAGATTGATTGAAGTGGAGAAAACTACAAAGTCAGCTACAAAGTTCCCATACCAATAAACTGCACCCTCAAAATGTAATCTTTGAGACATCATATTGCTAATAAGTAAAAATCTGCCTAATGTGAAGGTAAATAATGCTTCTAAAAGACTAACTGTAAGAAAATATGACACAAGCAGATAATTGCTAGCTGTAGCTAATCGCTGTCTGTCTCACATCCTCAAACTGCTAATAAACTAAAACAACAAAAGGTGCGTTTCTGCTCTTACAAAACTCTCTCAATGTATGATCCAAGTAGCTTTCTAAGTGTGGATTATCACTCAAGTCTGGCTGCACTTGTGAAGAGAAACTAGACACCAGGTCCATCTGTCTCAGTCATAATATCAAAAGTCTAACTCTGTCGAAGCGAGACAGGTGTGTGTGCTGCAGACCTCGGACACTTTCATAGTGCAAAATCACACACATTAGATCCTCTCACCTCAGTGTACGTTTGACCCGCCCTCTGCAGACACCATGCACGATGGCAGAGATCCTTTATTTAGCCTTGAACTTTAATGACAGCTGGGTTGTGTGAACATGACATTCCAGTAAAGACACACACACAAACACACACAGAAGTCGTAACCCCATATCCACCAGCATGGCTTCACAAAGCAGCCATATACTTCCTTACTTCAGGACTACTGCATGGGAAACGTGGGTATTTGTTATGAGTTGGGCCCATTAGATGGGTCAGCCAGAGCTTTGCTTCCCATGAGCAAAACCTCTGCTTATGCTAAGTGTGTGTACTTGTTTATGTCTCTTAGTATACCAGAACATCCCATAGATACAGCAGTAGTGTAGGATTAGAGACAGCAGAGATACAATCCAAAAATGTGCTGAGTTAGTAGATGCATTTTGAGAGCAGTAGAGATGAGTATGAGTAACACTGAAGGGTTCAAAGTTTAAGCAAACAGTCTAATCAACAGTATAACAATTAGTGCAGTAGAACAAGAAACATATGTTTTATTCCACTCGTTTTTATTTTGTTTTTAAACCAGGCATTACCCACAATGCAATTCATAGTAATGGCCGATGTAGTCTCCAGCCCTGCTCCAGCTTCTAGAATAAATGACCAGCGGTCTATAGGCTCTTCTATGATAGCCCCTGCCTGTTAGTTGATCATTGGATAAATAGTTGGTTTTGGTCTAAATTGACTAAGATTATTTCATCAACTTGTCTGTTTCAGATGTCTGGTAAAAAATCTAAACTGGTGTTATTGCAGTATTTACCCTAACTCAGCTTTACAGACATGTGGATTAAATCAACTAATTAGCTACCTACTAAATAAGGTAATACAATAGATGGTTAAACAAAAATGATTACAAAGTGACAGATCAGCAAGCACAGCATAAAATAAATACCAGAACCTGACATTTGAATTATCCTCACAGTCCATTGGTGGTCCACCACATTAAATCTGATTTGTAAATAAAGTTTAAGGGTTCTCATTTTGTAAGTAGTTGTGTTAAACCTGTGCATAGATTTTGTGTGAGAAAACCCAGACAGAGTCATGTGACAGTGTTTGCGTATTCATTAGAGTTGCTGTTGCTATGTGTATTGGTGTTTCTCCAATCAGGCTAATGTTAGCTTTTTATGCATATTGGCTAATGGCCCTTCAGACAGTGTCTCATCTACCTCCAGTATAAAGAGCTTCCTCCCTGTCTGCTGGGGGGGGGGGAAATTCACTGATTTTTGACTTCAGATAATAGGCAGGAAATGTCCCTCTGTGTGAGGATTAGGAGTTCGATTGCATCCCTAGTTTAAGAACTCCTCCTGGAAACCTGCTGAGTTTCATTAGTGTGATTTCAAAGGAGGGTTTGATGATTCAAATGTTTTTTCGGAGGCTTTTCAAATTGGAGATAGTCTGAAAAAAACACTAAACCTTTCAATGCAGTTACTTTGTGACTGGACTTTAAAGACAATGGGTCCAATCTATGTGCTTATGTTGATCTTTGACCTTTACTGACAGACACACCAAACCACTACATACCCATTTACTCAGTTTATTCCTCCCTTTTCCTTCTGTGTCTTTCCGTGGAGTGATTGTGCAGTGCCCTTGTCGTTGTGCCTGTAATCGGTCTAGTGGAGGTGGACTATTTTTACATATTTCTTCCTCTCTGACGCCTTGCTGTTGTTTTGTTTTTCCTGTTTTTCTCCTGGTGCACTGTTTTGGGTTGAGATGTGGGTTGGATTGGATAATGGAGTGCTCACAATAGGGTTGCCACGATAGATCCTGCCTTTCCACCTTTAACATTTTCTGCACCTCCTTGCCTTCTTTCCACCTGATGTTCATTTATGCAGACTCGACTGATTATATTTGGTTGTCTTGGACTTTCTTTCAACAGATGTTTTGATCCATCTTCTTTTAAACTCACATATCGAGAAACACATCTCAAATGTGTTTCTGTCCAGCCTGATGCTTCTCATTTAATTTGAATTAAAGGGAAATTGAATTTGACTCCAATTGTGTCTGTAAAGGGGAAAGGGAGGGTTGTTTTCCAGGTCACCACAAACTGAAAATCACATTATTCCACCTACAGTCAAAAGTCGAGACTTCTCTGATCCATTAGTGTACATTTCCAAAGCTCCCCTCATGCTCGCTGTCCAACTGAGTTTCCAGGCCTTATAGAGTATGGGGGGTAGGATAAGGCTATGTAATGGAGGACAGAATGTGCTCATTGTTCATAATTGTTTATTTAATCGAAACATCCCTCTGGGTGCGGAGCCTAGTCCCGGCTCCCCCTGCAACCTCTTTGTCCCGACACGGAGGGGGAAATGGCCAGCAGCGTCCCTTTTTGAGAACTGTCCAGCTGTCAAAGTGGCAGTGACATTTTCACAATGCTTCCCTGGGCTCATCTCCTCTGTCCGCACCCCCTGCCCACTGTAAGCCTCCCCTCCCCCCCCCCCCTCCAGAGGGCAGGGGGACGGCCTCAGAGCCAAATCCACATGTGACGGACAACCGAGCTGCAGGTTACAGATCTCAAACTTTTTTCTTTCTTCTCCTTTTCATCTCACCTCCCCCTGCCTCTCTGTAGCTCTGCCTTCACAAACTAAACACTGACCAAACAGGAAATATCTAAAAACCTTTTCCCAATTTCCTAATGACCTCGAAATGTAATCATACCACTCTTTGAGTTTCTGAGTGAGCCACAGTTTTCCTCACCTTAAAGTCTTCTTTTCACAGAGAGATTTCTATTTTGGCAACCCTATATTGTTCTAATCCCTACTAGCAGGCATTTCCTTGGTGTTCTTGACTGGTGGATTGGACTGGGGCTGGGTGGTGGGCGGGCGCTTGGCCGCAGTGTGATGGAGTTGGGTTTGGGGTTTAGGTGCAATCAACTCTGTGTGAATCAATCTAACCTTTCATATGTGTGTTTGTTTCACAGCATCCCGGCTCACTATATGTACCCTCAGGCCTTCGTACAGCCTAGTATGGTCATCCCTCATGTGCAGCCTACAGCCAGTGCACCTTCCAACGCTTCCTCCCCCCTACATCGACTACACTGGAGCGGCCTACGCTCAGTATTCTGCCGCCGCAGCCAGTGCTGCTGCAGCCGCTGCCTATGAGCAGTATCCCTACGCCGCCTCCCCCGCCGCCGCAGGCTACATGGCTACCGCGGGGTACGGCTACGCAGTACAGCAGCCTCTGGCCACCGCCGCCCCGGGCTCAGCCGCCGCTGTTGCCGCCGCCTTCGGGCAATACCAGCCTCAGCAAATGCAAGCCGATCGCATGCAATAGCAGCCACTGCAACCACTGGACATGCAGAGCGAGGAGCCCCGCCCCCGGCCACAGCTGATTGGTCAGGAGGAGCGGCGAAGGAAAAGGAAGAGGGATTGGCTTTAAGGGCGGGCGTGTCAGCGACTCGTAGGCAGAGTTGCTTTAAAAAGGTGATGATGGTGGTGGTGATGATGGTGGTGGTAGTGATGATGATGATGATGATGATGATGATGGTGAGGTGGGAACCTTTTACAGTAACCTTCCAACTTGCTGTGCTTCAACCAAAAAACGAGAAAATGAAAAAAAGTTGCAGAACACATAATGGAAAGTGATTTACTATTATTGTTGTTGTTATTACTATTATCATTACTATTATCATTGTAGTAGAGTAATTATTTCTAGAAGAGAAGCAGGAACTAATCCCTGTGGTTGGTATAGGTGTTGAACTAAGCCTTTAAGTCCTATTGCTGTCTTTAATGTTAGTTTAGGTCTATTATTTTTCATTTGTGGTTTTACCACAAGTGTTTTCGGTTATTTTATGCCCTCATAACATATATATTTATTATTGTTATTATTACACATTGGGGGCTCTTCTTGTTCTTTTTGTCATATCAAGTGCATTTTTAGGAGTTAATATTTTCTGATAATCAGGGAAATGGAACCGTTTCCAACATGTTAGCTATTATAATGTGACCTCTGTCAGGAAGTCGAGGAGTCCTAACTTATTGTGTCACACTTATTTGATGAACTACCTTTTTATCTTCCTGATGCTGAATGTCCCTTTTTTTTACTCTGTGTCTCGACCTCTTGACCTATGCAAAGCAAACAAATCACCAGGAGACAAAAAAACAAAGAAAAGCAACAAAAAAACTGAAAATGTCATCAACTCTGACTTGATTCTTGGACTAAAGGGGGACTTGGCAAACAAAGCGAACGCACTGACAAAAGGAGGGAGGTTGAAAACGGCTTCAGACAATGAGAAACACTAAACCTGTCGCTTTTCCACATGTTTCACTCACACGTACACAGACACATGCATCCAGAGTTGCACACATAGCAGTCAAAGACAAAGGCAGCACAGTTGTGTTTCTCTCTGCCTCTGGGATGGAGAGAGAGAGAGAGAGAGAGAGAGAGAGAGAGAGAGAGGGAGAGAGAGAGCAGCTGGTGGTGGGGGAGGACAGCGCTGCGCCACACAGACGGATCACTCTGGAAAGAACGCATCACTTGTGCTCGTTTGTTGAGCTGTCACATTTTAATCCCCGGCTGGGCCCATTTGGGAACCAACTTCACAAACCTCCACCCAACGCAGTGCCCCACAGCAGAGCCCCCCCCCCTCAGTCATGCAGCTGTCAGCACTTCCACCTCTGTGCTGCTGTAGTCTGGTGTCAGGTACACACTCACACACACTTTCACCAAAGCTACTCGACAACTGACCTGCCTCATGTCTGTCGAGATCACCAGGTGGGGTGAAGAGGACTCTTTGACGTAATGTCGGTCTGTGTGCCTTACATTTTTACTGCTATTTAAGAGGAAAAAAACACCAAAAAAAAGATAAATCTACTATTTAAGATATTTATTTTTTAGGGTTGACGATGTTGACGCTCTGAGAGTAGAGACTTAGTGGCGGTACTGTATTATTAATATTATGTACTCATCTCAAGGCATATATAAGTTATTGATTAGTTTTAGTAATATTATTATAATTATTATTAACATACTCAACCAAAAATGTCAATGTAGGAGTTATTTAAGATACTGTTATGTTCACTGTACTTTTATTTTTTTAATCTTTTTGATTCTTTAGAACATGACATTAGCTTAATGCCTTTTTGTAGGGAAGGAACTTTATTTAAATGCAGGCCTGTTTGCATGGAGATTGTACTCTTCTGTGTTTAGATGAGAGGAATAAATAATAATAACTTTCACAAAAAACAAGCGAAAATGCTGCTTTCTCCACTAGAATGTATAGTCGTTGTCAAGGGTTCATTCGCTGTGCTTCTTTTTGCTTAATATTCATCAGATGGGCTATTTTACACTGTCGGGAATTTTTATACTTGAACTATTTCTTACAAGGGAAATATGAAAAATAAATGACAAAAAAACTTTTTTAGGATGCTTCTCATTGTCACTGGATGAAGGCATGTAAAGTGTATTTAAATGCAAAGGTCATGTTGATATTAATACCTTTACTGCAGAATTTCAACACCATTTACTTAAAATTGGAATAAAATGATCTATATTTAAAAAGCTTGGTGACATTTATTTTCATGAAGAGTGCATTTCATCTCGCATGACAGGCTATTTGAATGAATATGATGATCTTTTTGTGCAGGAAGTGTTTGATCTTTTACATTTGTGTGATCCTCCTCCAATGTAGCCTTTCAGTCTGCCTTACACACCCTCATGAGCATAATGAATATATTGCCTTTGTGCCTGCTATGTTCAATATAAAATAATTGTGAAATGAAATACTTTAGATATCATTTGTGCAAAAATATAAACAATATGCACAAAAAAGGGAAAATCATAGCACTCTACGCTATGAAATGTTAGTTCATCTTTTTTTCCCTTACAGATAGCTGGGTAATTTCATATTTATTTCATTGATTTTTAATTGATTTTTAATTTCAAAATGCCATTGCCCCCCCCCATTTTTTCACGACAGTGGTGTTGTCACAGCCCTGTTGCCTTTGAGCCATCATGCGTTATCCGACTTTTAAGATAGAGCACAGTTTATAATCGACAAAAGAGAAAGATTGTCTGTCTTGAGCTGTAAGTCTTTCTCTGAGCAACATCTGTGAGGTGACAAACTGCTCCGCTCCCCGCCACTGGGAAACCATTTTGAGAAGACGTCATTTTAAACACTCCCAGTCACACCCAAAGTTTGGATACCTCTGACACGTAATAAAGTCTAAAGACTAATGATTCATCCTCTAATCAATAAGTCATGTTAATAAGAACATGCTGCTGTGTCTCTGCCACTCGGCTACAGGGAGTATTTTGGGCCTTGGTGAAACCTAAAACTATAGTGGGGTGATCATGACACAGCATGGTCACAACAAAGCCTTATGGGTAAAAACAGGTGCTATCATAGCATCTGACACCATGATAACAATTAAAGCTGTTACTTTATTTAACTGATGATGCAGAGCTGTGATGACGTTTTGATATGACTTTGACGTGGCACCCAGGATCAGTTTACTAAAGTTAGCCCTACGTTCTAACTATCTTTTATTTATACCTTGTAACTAGAGTCTTTGTTAACGAATAGTAAATAGTCAGATTAAAAGCATTACCTGTCTGTTATACACCAATAATAAGAATAATCAGAAGTTGTATCAGTTTTAAAACAAACTGTGGGTTTAATTACTAATGTAGAAATTCCTCATTGAGAAATTAAGAAGCTCTGAAATATCTTAATTCTTGGTCTCACTGTATCATACCTTTATAAATTATGTATTTCCTGCATTGAACTAACGTTTATCACCCCCCACATAGTCAACATTTTAGGGTTTAGGGATGGATATGTTAGTCATCTGCTGTTTATGAAAGGATTTCAAACTACTGAATGTCCATTATGCATTTTGGATTGAGAGCGATTAAAAAAAAGAAGTTGCAAGCAGAATAATCTTTGTGTTAGTAGTCCCAGTCAAGATACTGTCTTTATGAAGTGAAGCACTGTTCACACTGTTGCATTCATGTATGCGTCCATACAGTAAAACATAATTGTATTGACATTTTATTGTCTTGCCTTGCTGCAAAAACCAATTGCCTTTCAAGGACCAAAAATGTAAAGTTGAAACGTAAAGTTCTTTGCAGTATGCTACAGTCAAACAAATATTGGCCTCTGCTGCACCCACGGACCATTTTCTTTACATTGCTATCAATAATCACAGAACTTGCAATCATTAATCAGTTGAGTACTCCTTTGAACCTGGTTGATCTCGTCATCTCACGCCTAGACTACTGCAACTCCCTCCTGGCTGGTCTACCTGCATGTGCCATCCGACCTCTGCAGCTCACCCAGAATGCAGCGGCTCGCCTGGTCTTCAACCTTCCTAAATTTTCCCACACCACTCCGCTCCTCCGCTCCCTTCACTGGCTTCCGGTAACTGCTAGAATCCACTTCAAGACACTGGTACTTGCGTACCATGCTGCGAATGGATCTGGCCCTTCGTACATCCAGGACATGGTTAAACCGTACACCCCAGCGCGTGCACTACGCTCTGCATCAGCCAAACGACTCGCTGCACCCTCGCTGCGAGGGGGACCCAAGTTCCCATCAGCAAAAACACGTGGGTTTGCTATCCTGGCTCCAAGATGGTGGAATGAGCTCCCCATTGACATCAGGACAGCAGATAGCTTGCACATCTTCCGGCGCAAACTGAAAACTCATCTCTTTCGACTCCACTTTGAGCGATAGATTTATTAACAAAGCACTTATACTAATAAAGGACTGGCTTATCTAAAGCCAGTTGAGTAGCACTTGAAATGTTTGGCTCTATGAAACCTGATGTACTTATATGATTCTGTTTTCTTCAAGGTTGTGTCTTCCTGGTCGAATGTACTTATTGTAAGTCGCTTTGGATAAAAGCGTCAGCTAAATGCAATGTAATGTAATGTAATGTAATAATCTTGGAAATTAAAACTGTGGACATTTTGACATATCATAAAACTCAGGTGAATTTAATAACCTTAGCATGACTTTTGTCCCAGAGAGCCAGTATGCACCAAACCAGGACATTTGGTGCATACTGGCAAGTGGAATGCAGCTATAACTGTTATTACTTTCACCTGTGCTTTTGAAAGAAAATTCAAAATGTCTGCTATAAAAAAAAAAAAAAATGCAAGTCCACCTGTTGATTTATTAAAGGCTCTAATTTATCCAGAATATAAAACCTGCTTGGGAACTAATATAATATTGCATTTAAGGGGAGATTTTAAAATGGGGATTACCAAAATTAGGTGTCAAACCTTGGCTCGACTTCACTGGATTAAGATGATGAAAACTTCCCTGTAAATTCAGGTCCATTCCCCTCATTCAGACTTCGCCGCAGCGTCAATAACTATTTTTAGCGACTCTGTCTGAGGCTGCCATGTTGCCTGCGAGGTAAAAGCTCGTGAGCCGGCGAGAGAGGAGACACTGCGGTACTGAGTCACGGTCCCTTTCTCAGGTTCAACGTGTGGCTTATTTAGGATTTCCCGGAAGAGACAGTTGAGTGACGGGGCTGGGAGGCAGGAGGGGACCGCAGCACACAGACACGAACTCTTCCCGGGATATTGAGAGTCCTAAGAAAACATCTGCAAAAAGCGAACCAGAGGAGGGAGGTAAGTTGTTTTTTTATGACGAGTTTGTTACTGAGTTTGGTGTTTGGTACATTTTCTTGGTGGGGGCGGAGGGATATTGGGGTGTCGCAGAGTAGCAGACATGTCCAAACAAAGTCATCTTCACCTGCTCCCTCCGCGCACCATGGTTTCTTACAGTAGGCTATAAGAACACTGAGTGATGTCATGTTAAGGGTGATTTTGTTTTCTTTCATGTCGTTTCTTCTGGAGAAACGGTGATGTTGAGGTGTGATGCCTCAGATTTGAGGGGCGGTGAAAGTGCTGTCAGCATGCCAGCAGTGTGCCATGTCATGTTTTATTATGACGCGTCATCTTTGACCTGTGAGTGCCGCGTGAACACCACCTGTAATCAGACAATAGAGATTCAAGCTGCCTGTTTATGTTTTAGGCTATTATGCATTATGCTGTACATTTTCCG